CACATTAGAAAAGCGATAGGGAACAGGAAAAATAATATAATAATATTGTATTCATAAGTGTGGGTCGGGGTGGACGGGGGCGATGCGGTACGGTACAGCAGTCGCCATAAATCGCGAGGATAATGAATGCCATTCTCGCCTCAATAAAAACTCCCACATTATATGATACTGGCTCGATTTATGCGTAGCTGCCCGCGCCGCCTATTAAACTCCACCAAAATATTTTAATATTTGGAGTGGAGTCGCCTAATGCCCTATTTATATTCGACCGCGCGGGGCCAGGTGAGTGCGTCGTCGCCGGCGGATTTGCGAAATTGTTAATCAAGCCTCATTTACTCACAGTGAGCACAGACGACCGGTAATAATTTTTAACGATACCCCCTTTATGTCATCGTGATATTTAAGCCTGCGTCAAATTATGCAGATTCCATCCGCTAAATGCAGTTAGTAAAATAATATCTCCAACAACAAAAAAGCATATTAGATTCAGTATAGATAGTATCATATTGTAAAAGATACCGTTTCTGCTTTATTTCCCCTCAACAAAACGCGGGCGAAATAGAGTAAAAAAAAACTGTGCTGAATGCGACTGGCATGGAATCGAGTTGAGTGCATAAAGTCCCCGTTGATACAATCACGCGACAGCCAATGAAGTTGTATACTATTGAAAAATATTTTCAAACGAAGCGACGGTGGCGGTCGGTGGTGCAACGTGCGATGCCAGGGGGGAGGGGGGAAGTGAAGGTGTATTCATGAATATTGATGCGGCATCGTGAATATTCAGCGGGGCGACACTGGCGATTGAAAACGCGACGCAAGTGCGATGCAGCCGCCGCGGCCAGCTGGCTACAACCTGACTTGGGAATACAACCCGACACGTTGCACAAGGGAAAACTCTTGCATTGCTATAAATGACAGTTTTTATTTTGTACAATACAAGTTTGGTTATATTATAAACACGTTTAATTTAAGAGCCCTTTTACAAAATTGCACCACTGCCGTACTAATCGGCGCATAGGTAGATTTGCACTAGTATACGAGTATATTGCATTTTACGGGTGATGTTTAGAATCTTATAAAATAAGTATTAATGAACTAATTATAAAACTATATACTTATTTCAGTTGTTCAATGATGGTAGATTAGCCAGATTAGTTTTATGAAAGTTTCTGATAGTAATTCTATTTAATTCAATGTCAAAATACCTGTAAACGGTAAACCTGCATTATTTTTTGGGAAACCTTACGGAGGTTAAATTTTTTTTTTTTTGATAATTAATGAGATAGAAAATCAAAATTCTAATACATTATGTTACAACAAAAATATATTTCTGATGTTGTAGTAATTAATTAGATCTAATTTATTGAACATTATTGAGAGATTCAGGCGTTTGAAGTTGTGCATATAATCGTTTTTTTCTGTAAACTAGCTGCAGTAGAACGATCAGTACAAAAAAAGGAAAATAGTATTTGCAAATATTCTACATTAACATTCAATAGGAAGAATAATTCTATTGTTAACTTCTATTGGAAATAGTCAAAATCTTTTCTAAGGGTGTAAATAAGGCGCTCAAAAATTACGACTTTTTGCAAAAAATGTGAAAGGGCTCTTAAGAGATTAAGAAGATACTACAGAGGGATAGCGCATACATAGCATAACATAGGGATTGCAACTCGCATTAGAACACTTATAACGTGAAAATAAGTTTTAACTTACAGAAATAATGTAGTAGCAGGTAAAAGACAAGGTCGGGGTAGACAATACACAAGTAATAGACTTCCACCAGGTTATATTAACTGCTACTATCAGTTGAGTGAAGTGTCTGTTTTTCTTTTTCATAAAAAACACCACTTCGCAGACTTAGACCTCGATTAGATTATTTAAATCCTCTCACTCTAAATAATTAGATTCTGCTTAGGTATTTCTTGCAACGCGAATCCAATACCTACGCGGTAATTGGCTACATTTAACAGCTAAGATATCGTCCACCGACGGACACTGCGGAGCGGTAAGGTGAGCAAAGGAAACCTATATAATGAAGGCAATTTGAATAAACTCCAGCACATTAGGTCGGTGCTAGCGCCGCGCCAATTAATTATTTCTTGCGTCCTGACTTACGCTCGCCTCCGTCTTTGGATGTAGTGATTAATCAGGTTTTTTCCCGGGTCCAGCCGGGGATAAATCTCGGGGCCGATCTCGCCCGGACAAGTACATGCGGCCGGAATCTGGCCCGTTATTTATGTGCTCCACAAGCCCGTGTCCCTGATGCACTGCCATCCCCCTGTATACCTCCCCGGCCCGAACCGCCCGAAATGTGTCTAAGCAGTACGACAATCGCACTAAATTAAATAAACCCAAGGCTTATTATTCAAAACTGCGGGCAGACTTCAGAAATTATTATTGCCCGAAACTCCGAACATTCCTGGAACGAATCAAAAAGTTTTTCTCATCATCAATCTTTCGGACGAGCAGGAAGCGTTTAAGTCGCAAAAGCGCGAAATTAATTATTTATCAGCGCCGCGGGAATTATAGCAGATTGGTGCTTAAATGAGAACGCCATGACTCATCAAGAAACCAAATGTGTTGGGCGCTATCAAAGGAATCAAATTACTGGGCTTACGGGCGGGATTCAAGAGTTTCTTAGCGGATATGGAATTAAGAAATGCCGGTGGGTGTAAGAGTATTTTGCTAACGTGCTTAATAAATCAATTCTTTTTGATATTGCTCAGTTATTTAGTACTATTATTATATAATTCATATTTTTACCATTATAGTTAGCCATAAACGAGAACGACTTTATCATGTCGACGAAAAAGCTAATATTCAATGATGTTTCTGTGATCAACGCAGTCAAAACGGGAAGTGATGACCGGTTAGTACAAGGCACATTGAATAAAAACATTAAGCTCGAAACATCTCGAATGATAAAGTCTACGCTCCGACCAATGCCTACACAACTCCAGAACCCAGAGAGGTTTCAACTCGAACTTCAAATATTAATTCGAATTCTTCGATTCCCTTGAGAACAGCTTAGATGTGGTCGTTCTGAACAACACGGTGGTGGATACTGTTGGTACGGTAGGGTCCAAATATTCTGACAAAACTCTCCTACTTATGGAACAGCGGAACGAAATGAGACTACGGAATTCAGGAGATGAAAATCAGTACCGGCGGTTAAATAGATAGATATCACAGTCCTTGACGAGCGATCTTCTCCGATTTAATACGTATTGTATCAAAGAGGCTATCGAGCTCTGTAAAGGCTCCAAAAGTATTTGCGAGATATCTGTCAATTGGGTAAAGCGAACTGATGAAGCTGAACACTGACAGCGGTAGCATCATTTCGTCTTAAGGCTGAAATCCTGAGGGAGATTGAGAGTTTCTATGGATAGCTATACTCAACGCAAGCACATGTTGAAAGCAAGGCTAGAGAACAACAACTTAAAAACAACAAGACGGCGGGCGATGATGGGATCACAGCAGAACTTCTGAGAGTGGGCGGTAAGCCGATACTCAAAGTTCTCCAGAGGTTTTTCAATTCTATCATCCTCTAAGGCAGAACGCCAAAAGCATGGGCTAGAGGAGGTTGTCCTGTTCTTCAAGAAAGGCGGCAAAGCACTATTGAAAAACTATCGACCAACCTTACTTCTTAGCTATATTTATAAGTTGTTTTCGAGAGTTATTACGAATCGTCTCGCACGCAGGTTTGACGACTTTCAACCTCCCGAACAGGCCGGTTTCTGAAAAGGTTTCAGTACCATAGACCATATTCATACGCTGCGGTAGGTTATACAGAAGACCGAAGAGTATAATCTGCCATTCTGCTTTTTGCTCGTGGACTATGGAAAGCTTTCGATTCGGTTGAGACCTGGGCGGTGTTACAGTCTCTACAAAGGTGCTAAGTAGACTACAGGTATGTCGAGGTATTAAGGTACCTTTACGAAAACGCACTATGTCAGTTCGATTACAGAACCAGAGCTCTAATCCTATCCAATTGCAGTGAGGTGTGAGACAGGGAGATGTGATATCTTCGTACGGCTGACATGTTGATGATGCGATTTAGTCATAAATCTATTTGAATGTATTATGTACGAATGTAATGTTTTTCTACAGAATCATTATGAAACAAATCGTAATTTTAACTCATAACAAGTTAAGGGAAACCGCTTAAAAGCAAATTTAAAAGATTACGAAATTTCATGAAACTATAAATTACAACTTCTTATAAAATATATACTTTATTTATGTTTGCGCAATCATACACGTTTTATTAAATGATCATGCACGAAAAAATAAGAAACAAATAAGTCTTAACGTTATTGTAGGTACAAGTTACAGTCTAATCTAACTAAACCAGCTGAATTACATTAAGATTCTGCACTTTGTTTGCTAAGATTCGAGGATTTGTCGGGCGATCCCGTTTTCGCTTCTCCAACGACGGCGTTCCTTGGTGTGGTAATTGCCCTACGGATGGACGCCGGCACGATTAATGCCAGTCCCTTATCAATGCGAATCTTTTTTCCCCCAAAACACCTTGCCTTCCACTCAGAGCGAATGGGAAAAAGTTGAACCAACCATTCAATAATGGTAACTATTAATTATTGAAATGAATTTTGGGTTTCATTACATTATCATCATCAGCCTATTAATGTTTATACAAAAACTAGCTTTTGTCAGCGGCTTCAATCGCGTTAGATCTGATTTTAAGTGAATGGTGTGAACTCAGTAAATAAAAAGCTCTACAAAATTGCTTATTTAATTGAAGGAATAACCGTGAAAGGACATTGCTCATTCTCCAGTATTAAATTAATAAAATGTTCACCCTGTAATTGATTTTTCAGTACATTAAAAACATGTTGTTTACACAGCTTGCAGAAAACTTTTGCCTAAAAAACGATGCTAAACAAAATGAAATTCTACTAAATTCATCTAACTTCTACCAATACTTTCAGTCTGATAGCTTATCAGTTTAAGAGCTAAATATTGACATTTAATTACAGGTGAAGCGGCAAGCGCGCCCAGTCTGGCAGTGTCATCGCCAGGCAGGACGGCGCCTGCGCCTCTCTCTACACCGGTAAGATTAATTATTTTACTTACTACTAAATTAAAATAAACGCCATCGGTTAACATATCTACGGCTAGATCTTTTAATTACCTACATGACTAAATCATTCAATGAGCTTTAATTTTGCCATTGAATTTTTTTGGATAGAAGTTGTAGTTTTTACGAAATTCACGATAAACCGCTTTCCCCCTTTAAAAATGGTCTCACCCCTAAGCCTCCTGACTTCAAATTGCTCTTGATTTATTTCGCTTTTTTTGATGTGGTGTTTGCCTTTAGGTATGGGTTTCATCTGTTTCCGTTTTTTTTTTTATTTTTTTACCATTTTTAAAGCCTGCATAGGTATTCTGTAGGATGCAATCTCATCTACGATACCATTTATTCGGATTTCTGACAAGTATTTAATATCTAATACTGGCTGCTTCTACAGACATAGCAACATTTTGCCGTGTAATGGCGTAATGCATATCTAACTTTGACGACCTCCGTGGCCGAGTGGTTTGTACGCCGGGTTTCATGGTGTCGCCGACTCGAGAGGTCCCGGGTTCGAATCCCGGTGGGGGCAAATATTTGTGTGATGAATACGAGCATTTGTACTCCAGTCATGGATGTAAAATATTTATTTCTATATAAATACACTTATATATGTACAGTATATGTATTCTATCCGTTACCCTAGCATCCCATAACACAAGCCTTACAGTGCTTACTTTGGGGCTAGGCTAATTAGTGTGGGTGTTAAAAAAAAAAGAAAGAAAAAAACTAATGTCTCAAATGGCAGCTACCTCAAATTGGAAGTAAGATTTTATTTTAAAGAATGAGCCTGCTGGTCTATAGTCTATAAATCACAAACACTTTTAAATAGTGCAGATAAGCTTTTACATACTACATAATATAAAATATCTTCACGCTGTATGCCGGGTGCAGTAGACAAAGTGAAGAGAGAAACATTATCATACGGTCTATAGAGATAACTTTTCTTCCCTAAGACACACATTCGCCGATATTTGTGGCTTCTGACGTCACCAACCTTCAGAATGCGATCAATGCTAAAGTAATCAATCATAATAACTATACATGGTAGCGGTAATGAGTATCACAACCTTGGTTAGTGTAATAGTTTTCTACTTCGTTCAAATTCTCATAGTCGCCAAATGAAAAGGTGATGAAGAGTTACAAAAAAGAGCAGTTGCTACTTTACCGAAGTATACATGTAAAAGAAGTTATGGTAGTCTGATATTAAGCAAGAATTATTGAGCACCTATTTATATATGTAATGAGAGTTGACGACCTCAATTCTTGTTTATATAGGTTTGATGTCATTTTCAACTGACGCCTGTCTGTATGAAATAAAATACATAGAAACATCCCTTGCTGGATTTCTTGCCGATTCTTCTCAGTACTACAGTCTCCCACCGTAGATTTGCAAACCGATGTGGTTGATGGGTAGCATTCGACTTTCACATGAGCTTGTAGGTACAAGCGTAAAGTGAATAACTGAAATTATTTCAGACCACTTAAAACTTTGACGTTTTAAAACGGAAAAAGTTGGGAAACTGCTTATTTTTTACTAGAAATTTCTCACCCTGTTAAAAGAACGTTGTGACAACAAGCGCATAGCTTATATTTTCCTCCTCACTATTGTGTGAAAAAAACAGCCCGTTTATTGACGCCGTTGGCGCTTTTTTTATTCGGCCTCCGAGAACTGAGTCGTCTCTTAAAGCGGCCGAGTCTTTGTCTTAATAAAAAGTGTCACAATCTCTATGTCATAGTTACGTCGACAAAAAATATTTCATACGCTCATTCCGGCCGTTTTCGACGCGGCTCCTGTTAGATGGTGCGATCATAAAAGTGCCCTCGCGGCGAATAAACTCGGCGACTCCGAAACGAACGGCGCGACTTAGCACGATTTTATCTACTTAAAGTTAGATGTCGTTTATTTTATGTGAGCGATCGAGGCAGTGCGCTTTAGCCGCGACCCGGCGAGGCTTGGGCGCGGGCGGTCACTCGTATCTTTATGGAGGGTGGCCAATAACGCACTCGTTTACGTCCCGCCACTGGCAAAGCATCATATTTCTTTAGCGCGTTTGGTCTTATCACTGGTGTAGTACTCGCATCGTTCTAGTGCGTCTATCAACCGCATGATGCGCCCCACGGGGCACTCGCTTCGTTATCCAGCCGATCTCACGGGCCCCGACACAAAAGCTTGGTATGCCCCATCCATTACATAGTACAGTATGAATAATTGCCCTATTCATAACATTATGTTACTCAAACGCTAGGCCTGTCTGAATATTCTCTAATTTATCTGTTAGTGGGTTTCGTAATTGTTACAACAATCTACAGTCATGTAAGATTTTAGTAGAAACGTGTTCGTGTTCTATTATATACGTCTGTCCTGTCAAATGAAGGTAATTGAAATAGGAAAAATGCATGCTTTAATCTCAAATTGAATTAATCTACACTGTGTGTTTTTTTTTTGTTTGACTTAGACACTTGTTGCAGTACATGTTTTACTATAGTGAGACGTAGATATTAAAGCAAAACTTCTCCACTTATGCTACTGATTATACATGTGTCCATCAGATTGCCAGCTAGAAGACGTGTTCATCCCTATGATAACGATATTCCAGGAATTAAGACGAATTTATACATCTGGCGTAACATGATATAACAATAAAAATAGTAGAATATCAAGTTTGTTATCCTATAACCTACTTGTGTCTGTTTACCCGATCCCTCCAGGTGAATTTCAATTCAACTTATATAATTAACTTATTACTAATGGATTCTTCAGCAACTTTACATACCTATCAAACTAGCACTTTCATCAATCGAAAGATTGGCGGGTAGAAAACCGCAACGATTAAAATATTGAAGAATCGTCTGACGTTAAACTTCCATCGTATTTACACGAAAACTTCTCTTGGGAATTTACTTCGCAAAGTCTCCATCAAATAGAAACATGGAACTTCATTTAACTGAGTTACGAACCGATAAAGTAACGAACGAGTTGAATTTTAATATTAACTCCTCGACGAAAGCCAAGTTCGTAAAGGTTAATGATAATCGAATTGATTACTTTTCTGGAACATCGTTATTAAAATTCTTGACAAATCAGTTTGTTATTTTTCGAGTACATGTATTTATATAGGGATAACCATAACCTATATTCTATTCTTATTCAAAGGCTAACCTTAACTAAAATTTTTCCTAGCATTGAGAAATGTTATTACGGCATGGGCGAATAAGACTTCAGTTTGATTTGTGAGTGCAATTTTCGAGAAGCCCAGTAAAAACACTACGCTCCTATTGTTCCTTAGATCACGCATCGGGCTCGGTGCCACTAAAATGCATCTGCTTCTCGAACATTTATCCTTTTCTATTAGATTTCCAAGCACTCGGACTGGGAAGCGTTATTTCTTTATTTTCTTAAAACAGTTTCGTTGCAAAAGTTCTGAGCGTTCTACCGGTATAGGGAGTAATCGTTGTGTTTGTTCGCTCGAGGCGTTTGAAGATGCTCATATGTCTTACCGAGTTGCGAAGGTCGGCGGGTAGTGGAGCCCCAGCACTCCTTTGAGAGGGGGTGCGGGTGGTGTTGAGTGACACAATGACAGCGGATCGGGCGCGGGCGCGGTTCGTTTGTCACAGATGACGGGTGCCGTCGGCGAAAAACTAAGCCGCTGTCCGCACATCTCCAAGATTGGCCCGCCGCCGCTGACACACCGTCATCAACTCCTTTCGCTGACCCCTCTAATTCGTATACACGCTCACTCGCTCGTGTTTACCGTTTTGATATTCGAATTATGAGGGTTGAATTGTCTATTTTGGTCCACTGGAAAGGAAATTTTTTGCACAATGGCCATTGTTGAGAGAACGCGTCAGCTAAGTAGGTAGGGGCGTTTTAATTAAGTCCGTGATAGTTTTAGCAAGGGATCCCTTTGTCGTGCTACCTTTGACATCGCTGGCGTTTACTGTTGGGATACCGCTAATCAGGTGAGGCTAATTTAAAGATGTGTCTGATATGAAGTAATTACCTACTGATACGGTCCAGGGTCTAATTACGCCACGCTGATTGGCTATGCCAAGCCTTTCATTCCGCAGGCGCGCCGCGGGACCATTATAATAACTTACAATATCACGGCCACCGCCTCGTCGATTCATAAATTTATCCTGCATATTACGATCGTATGATTTACAACCCCAATCGCTATACTAAATTCAGGATAGTATTATTACCAAACTTCGGTAAATGGCTCTATGGAGAAAAAATAAAAAAAGGATAAGGTTAATTTTATATCATAACTAGCGAGCGAGCGACTTTGTCCGCCTTACCTTCAATTAAATCCAAAACCGTTTAGTAGTTTTTGCGTGACCGAGTAACAACCATCCAAACACACAAAAATATAAACTTGCGTATTTATAATATTCTACTAATCGTAGAATATTATTTTATAACTAGCTTTTGCCCGCGACTTCGTCCGCGTTTTCGTCGTTTTTCGTAAAAAAGTAGCATATGTCCTTCCTCAGGGTCCCGTGGTTTTGATGTGACAGACAGATTAACTTTCGTATTTTAGTAGGGAAATATAATATGTCAATCCACAATACTGTTAAAAAAATCGCAATAAGGAACCGCAGAATATTATTATTATCACTGTGCCCCGAGACCATCAGCGTGTAACTCCTTGTATGTTATTATGTTAATGTTTTGGTAATATTGTTTAGATCACTTTCACATGAGGCTTAAGTACATATAGAATGAAAATACTTCAGCGCAAAGCTTCAAACTACGTTGAAGGTAGGTAAACTACGTTGAAAGTTGACCCGTCCGGCACGTGAACATAAAGATTTCTAGGACTGCTAACCCGGGAAAGAGCGACATAACTGACCATGTGAAAAACAACTGACACCGAGATCTACTCCGGCAAACCAAAAGTCTGCCCTTGAGCCTTATTTATTGTCATTGCATAACACACCGATACTGGGAATTGCGTTCTTTTAAATAGGAATGGAAAATTATTTGGTATTATGGGAATTCTGGGAATAAAGATGGTTTCTCCTGCACCGCAACCTGTTAAAATTTGAGCCTCGATTACATTTTGTTGCAACTGGGTTACTTTAAGCCGAGTTCCATTGCAAAGTTGTGGTGGTCTTAAATTTCAGAGCAGAATAATTGGAATGCCAATTTTTAAACAAATTGCATGAGAAGGAAGTCCGGGCATATTTAAAGAATTTAAAAATTCTATCGGGTAATTAGTGGCTTCTTGTTCATCGGCCATTCTATTTATTGAACTATAAACTTTGCTTTCCCCCTGGATATTCGACAGTATTTTATTATTAATCTCAGATGCCCGGTCATTGCGAGGAGTTAAAATGGACCTTTCGCATAGCCAAGAATTGTGCTTATTTAATATATTTGTTACGTCACCGTGTACTGACGATATAAGATGTTGTTGGGGTTGCACTATACAACATAACTCAGGCGTCAGAATAATTTTTCCTTGGTGTAGCAGTGGATCTTTGGTGAAGGTATTTTCTTTAATAATATATCAGAAAATTCACGATCATCCGGGTTATCTACAGTTCTCACTCGCATGTTTATAGTCAAATGCACCGATTGTATATCACGCCTCAAATAAGAGCTTTTCAGGCAAGCCTTAACCTCATCAGCTCGGGTTCCCCGTGGTATTACCGGTAAGGTTTGTCGGAAATCACCACAAAATAAAACTGTGATACCGCCGATTGGTCGATCATTTTGTCTTATATCCCTTAAAGTTCTGTCTACCGCTTCTACTCCTTTTCGATGGGCCATCGTACATTCATCCCTTATGATTAAATTACACTTTGAACGAATATTTAAACACTACCAAAACAACAAATACGTGGTCCTAACTTTAGCTACCTTACACTTAAAATCTAAGTGACTATTTAAACTAAAATATTCTTATAGAATTATAACCAGAAATATATACAACCCACAACAAAAAAGAAATGAAAATAAAGCTGAAACGCCTGTGCAATACTATCTACCTATACCTACTTCACTTAAAAATAAATACTTATAACTACTTTAATTAATAAAAGTATCTACGCTTAATAATTTTTAATTTGAACGAATATTTAAACACTACCAAAACAATTAATACCTATTTTACAAAATAACAACAAAAGAAATTCAAATAAACTATTTAAAGACTAAAAGTCGCGCTGATAAGAATTGTTTCTCAATATCAATTATTGTCTGTCAATAAGGTCGAACGCTCTGAACGCATCAACAGCCAAATATTGAAGCTCGCTCGCTCTCTTTTTTTTATTTCCTCCCAGGCGGGGGAGCATGTAAGAAATCCTCATGGATACCCTACAGCCGGTTGCAAGGTTATGTCAGACTCATACTGACTAAAAACACCCGTAGGGGCTGCCTCTGGCCGGGAAGGCCTTTAAGGCTTCATCGGAAGCGATCGTCCCCAGGGGGGGAGCGAACCAGAAAACAGATTTAGACAGCTCTCTCTCGGACCTCCCGCCTTTTGATACCCTACCGCCCCGCCGCGACCCGTGTCGAGCGCGGCAACCGTTACACAAAAATAATCCATAAAGCATGATTCAGTATTCACGTGCGACGGCGCGATGGCTTATTTCATGTATAAGTTTGGTGTTTCTATACCGATTTCTATGTTTTTTTTATTGAATAGGTAATAATGTTAACTTTTTTAAATTAGAGATGAGTCAGAGTATTACAAACGTATGAGTAAACAAATATGATCAGAATGCTCCGAACTGCTAAGCTATCGGGAGTTACACGTGTTATTGTGAGTCAACCATAAAAGATAGACATATGCTGTTGCGGGATATTTTTTAGACAATTTTATGTAGAATATTTCCGTCATACATGATTTCTATGTAACTTTAACCATTAAGGCTGCACACGCGACGGAAGCTTAAAAAATGGAGTAACTTCTCCCGTTTTCCCAACATTTCCCTTCACTACTCTGCTCCTATTGATTGTAGCGTGATCTAAAGTATACTATAACCTGCCCAGGAGTATGAAGAATAATTGTACCAAGTTTCGTTAAAATCCGTCGAGTAGTTTTTGTTTCTATAAGGAACATACACACAGACAGACAGACAGACAAAAATTTTACTGATTGCATTTTTGGCATCAGTATCGATCACTAATCACCCCCTGATAGTTATTTTAAAAATATATTTCATGTACAGAATTGACATCTCTACAGATTTATTATAAGTATAGATATCCTGCGAATTCATTTATATTTCACTCCCGCTGTGTAAAAGAGAATGCCACTTACACTTAACATCACACATCGGTGTGATGGGGCAGTTTGCTGTGCCTTGCGTACAAGACTTTTGAAAGTTTTTTTTTTATGTTTATTTCCACGACTTAATTGTATGCGTATAAAAGTCTTTAAATAGATTTTGTAAGTAGTGTTGTAAATTCTAAATTATGTAATGTTAGCTACCTTCATGTATTATTTCATATTGAAGTCATTTTTCAACTTAAACTCTGCCGCCGCTTTAGATTTACGAACCGATGGCGTAACTTTTAGGTTATAGGTTAAAATTGTTCATCATCTGTCTATTAAAGACCCCTCTTATGGAGTACTCGCATTTAATTTGAAGACAATAAGAAGATATGGCATTAAGTCCGCCATATGCAATGTAAAGGCATTAAAGATTAAATAAAATAAAATAAAAATAAAAATATGGACTTTACCCACCACGCAGGCTAGTGCAGGTTGATATCCAGATCCAATGTTTCTATGAAAATTAAGCAGAGCGCCCCTACCAGACATAAGAACAAACTGGCTCTTTCCATACAAAATTCGACTATGACGATACGATTATGAACCTGACAAAACTCGTGCTTGCGCCCAAGGAAGTTTTAAACCCTAACTTTGGCCTTAGTTTAGCAAATCAGATCAACCTTGTCAATAATTAGAATTTAAAAAAAAAGTTGAACTGAGTGTGAACATGATTTTGTTTTTATAATTGTCTTTGGTGCTTGGAGGATGGAGGTTCTCCTCAATCTTGAGTGGAAAAATCGTTATGGCTATGGAACCTTTTTACTTACGCAGGCATGCAACGGACCAGGAGCGTCTTGGACATGGAGTGCCCGTTCGCGCGACTTGAGCGCGCCCGGCGGGGGCGCTTTGACGGAGGGCGCGGTAGGGCGCGCGATGGGGCGCAGCGCGTCCGCGACATTACGGGCCGCGCCAGACCTCAACGTGGACGCCATCAAGGAGAAACTACTGGACCACCGCATCCCAGAGTCCTGCGTCTAGTCACTATAGTTGTTAGTTCGGATGAACCTCAACCGCCGCTGCGTACACCCAGGTTTATAAGTAGATGTTGGAAGGAATCTCGCTGATCATTCATTAAATTTCAATCGAAAACAATCATGTTTGTATTCGTACACTTACAACTACTATATGTTGGTTAATGTTATTTTGTCTTATATTCCATTTTTCTTCATGATTTTTTTAATTAACATAATTATAAATAATATAATAGATATTATCTATTTACTCGGCTTATTCATTGAACTGAAAATATTAAAACAACTTCCTAACTAGTGTATTGCAATTTGACTTGTAAATACGTGATTGTATCAACTAACTAAGTTTGGTCTCTACGTCAAAGGGTGTTGCGTAGGGTGGTCGGTGAATCCTTTGTACATTCCTTGCGAGCGTTGTGTAAATGTTGTAGGTAGGTAGACATTTTCTCGACTTTTTACCCGCGACTGAACAAGACTTTCATGATCTTCTGCGCGTCCCTCTGAAAAAAATGTAGTGTAACAAAATACAGGAATAGTGTAAAGTGGCCCCTCTGAACTTATTATGATACTCAAAGGTAACTTGTTTGACTTAGTACCTTGTACTGTGAACTTTATTGCATTGGGCTATATATATATATATATAGGTAATACACTAAAGACCTCTGGAAACGGCAAATCACGGGACTGAAAACTGAACTCACCATAACGGGAAGCAAATAAAAGTATTGCTATCATTCTATCTAAGCAGATAGCCCATGACAAGATAATTTCGAAAACAATTGACAAGCACTCTCGGTAATCGTCAGTTTTTTTTTCTCTCTCGTGCTTCTCCCACACCTATGCGACGAAGCTCTGGGTGGTTTTGGTTCTAAAAGCGCTAATATTAGCGTTGGAAATTTCAAAATTAGTTCTGTCGTACAGAATAATCGGGCTGTCTATCTTTAGACGCTAGATAATAGCTTGACTGGTAATAATTTGACACGCATAAAAGAGATTGTGGGAGAAGAGAAGTATTGCACTTATGTGTTTTTAATGCCGAATCTTAAAAATAAACTTTGTCTATAACATAATAAATACATTGTTGGGGTGGACCACCCTCATCACTTACGGGTACGAAAAATAGTTTACGTCCTATTCTCAGACCTACTGAACATAGACAAAAAGGTTTCATAAGAATCGGTCAAGTCGTTTCAGAGGAGTTTTGTTACAAACACTGTGACACGAGAATTTTATATATTAGATAACGAAGACGCGCGAAGATCAAATAACTTACCGCATTAAATTTGTTTAAAAATAAACTCTGTGATGTAAATAATAGAGTCTAAGTCTTTGCCACTTTTTTACATGTCTACTTTAGCTCCTAATCTACCGTTTAACGATTCGATTGAGAGGTAAATGGATCTATCGTTAAAATTATATGTAAAAATTAATTAAATGAAACTATGTAAATAGTGTTTGTACTTGATTCTTAAGGTTTTATGGTCGGCTTAGGGTTGTCGCTGCCGGGCAAAACTACAGCCCTAAATAATACTGTGTGTTATAAATTGTACAGGTTATTTATTACGATAGTATATTTTTTTTTTTGTAAATGTAAATTATGTTTAGTGAACGTGTATTTTGCGATTATATCCGTGCGTTTATAACAAACATGCTTACAAAAGAATTCTTCTGGTTACGTACATGGTAAAATGAACTTTATAAAAATATTTCGCACACATCGCTCGCAGAAAACCTGACAGCCTAGAGAAGCTGATGGTGGTTGACCAGGTCGACGGGAGAAGATCACGCGGTCGCTCACATACCCACTGGGCAGATCTAGTAAAGTCACTCACTGGCCTATCAATAACCAAGGCTATAAAGACTGCCGAGGACAGTAATACGTGAAGAAGCATAGTATATCAGGTGGTCAACATTTCAAGTTAGACACGACATTCAGAAATGAAGATAGCGACTAAGAAGAAGACGTACATGGTCGTAACAAGGTGTCAAAAAATATAAAACTTTTATAATGTATATTATTACTTTCAGCAAATTTATGAACACCTAGTGATGTGTAACTTATTTTAAGTAAATACGAATTATCTAGGTACCTAAGTAGTTAATAAATTAATGTCCATAATTTTGGTTTTGGTATAAATAAGTTTCCGTTGCTATACCTAAAATTTAAATGGGCATATCAATACATTGTTTAAAGTAAAATCATTTTCCGCGTTTGACTGTATGGTATATCCGCTTTTGGTACCTACTCTTTTGTCCATCAACATCACACGGAAGATTCATATATTATATATATATATATAGTACAAGCCCGAAAACAAAAACCTAAGTTATTATGAAATTTAGAAAAAGTTTTGTAAGCATGTTTGTTTATTTTAACAACAATAAGACATATCTCGAACAAATTGTGCGTATCATTCAATATGCGTATCAAATGTTTTTCGCTTAAGTTACGAACAGACTGACAATGAAAACTTGTAGATATCATTACATAAAAAACTGTTAGATAATTTAATCTGTTTTAAATATAAGAGGTGATTTGTTATTATGGAAATTTAAACAACTCCAAGAGTTCGCCCTAATGTTGACACATTTATTTTGGACGAGATTAAAGGTTGTCTTGAAAGTATGAATGTGTTTCATTCAACGTTACCCTAGCAAATTGTTTATTATTGAAATGGATTCAATAATTATTGTAAAGAAGCTGTCATCCGTTCCATTAATGGTGCATGTTAATATTATATAAACATCAGGACACATCTATCGGCCCATTAAGGCCCGTATTACAGAATGACAACTAAGTGTCGATCTTTACTTGAGTACAGTTAGAAAGGGATGTCGCTATGTGCTATATACAGCGACATCCCCTTCTAACTATGCTCAAGACTAGACCAATCACTGAGAATCTTTCTATAATACGGGCCTTAGTGTTATAAGTTTCAACGGTCTGTAGCAAAAATATAATTAAGTTAGGTTGAGCACTAACAACATATTTTAAAAAAACACAAGAAAACTCAGCTTAAAAACTGCGTAAAAATATTTTGCTTAACGTTGCATTTATTTTTAAACTAGGGACCGTCAAAACCATATAAGTCAAATCTTGAAATGAAAAGTGGGCCTGCAGATGTGTACGGCGGTTATTTCTTATTTATTTATTAAAATAATCAGGCTACAAAGGCCCATAGATAAATACCTTATATACAGATATAAAACATTGTTGTTAGTTAATTTCAAAGTTTTAAGCGGAAAAGCCTTATCGAATTCTTTCTTAACCAAAGTGAACATATTGCCGTAAAGAATATTAGGATCCTCATGTGTCCATGGCATTTGAAACATTTTATCATCAATATTGTTTTGAAAATTTTCTAAACGTTTATTTGTTACTGGTCTTAATTCAATGAATTTGGGCTTAGTAGTGTCATTTGTATTATATGTTATTTTTAAGCCGTAATGATCTGATGTGATACAATTAATAATTGATTTACTAACTGGATTATAATCAGTAAATATATTATCCAAACAAGTAGCTGAATGAGATGTTACTCTAGTAGGCTCAAAAAATTGATGTACAAAATTAAAACATTTGAATAGTGATGTTAGGCGAATTGACATTGAATTATTTTCAAGAATGTTAATATTGAAGTCACCAACTACAATCAAAAACTTATTTTTAGACTTTAACTTTTTTAGAACATTCTCCATCACTGATTCAAAAACACTAATGTTGCCTAGAGGGGGTCTGTATACACATACTATAATAAATTCACTGAATTCAACACAGGATAGCTCAATAATACGTTCTACTGAGAGGCCAACTATGTCCTTCCTATCCCTAGTTTTTATATTTTTATTTACAAAAAATAATGTGCCACCATGTATAGCTGCAGTACGAACATATGCACTTATCATTTGAAAATTGTTTATGCTAAAAGACACCTCAGAAGACTTAAGCCAGTGTTCAGATAAACAGATAACATGAATATCCTGGCTCTTTGCAAATAGTTCTAATTCTAAATCTTTGCCAGCCAACCCTTGAATATTCTGATAAATAATATTAATTTTGTTGGATTTGGCTGTTGTCGTACCCCTCAGTTTAAATTTGAGTTGGTCACCCTATTTTCTAAATTAATAATTTTATTAGTGCTGACACTAAAACAATCCAGTTGCATAGACTTTGTTATACCATGTATAACTGAGTTTTGTATATTATAAGCTAACAAAGTAGCTATCTGAGTCTTATATTTTTTTGCAAGATACATAGTATCTGTGGTCAACTTAAATTTACTAATATATTTATTTATATCAAAATATAAAAAATGTCACTATGACTATTTAATAAATTATAAATTATTAAATTCAAATTAAAGATGCGCTTGTTTTGTTCCCTAGTTAAATTTTCTGCATATGGGAAAGCGCTTATTATTATTTTACACTTGCACCTAGACTGATAGTTAAGTAGCACCTCTATATTTCTATACATATCTCTTGCTCTTATTTTAGAGCTGTCACCACACATAATAACTATGTTTGTCAAACTGTTCGCATCATACTGATTCAGTTCACTTACAATGTCATTTATTGATTTACCTGGCATACATATATTAGTAATTCTTTCATTACAATAATTCCTTAACATTGTTCCAAAGCCGCATCCTAACTTATCCGAGAACATAATTGTTTTACTTCTAGTTGTGTTCTCAGATAGCACTGGTTTGAAAGGAGAGGTACTATATGTAGTGCAGATTGACCTCACAGGGGAGTTGTTATATGTTTTGCAAGTTGACCCAGAACAGACAGATGAACCACCAAAATTTTTAACTGTTTGAGAATTATTATTATTATTAACGACCTCTATAATTTCAGATGATGTTGATTGCAAGGAAGATTGATTTAAAGAACTACTGAATTGATTTTTTACTAAAGACTCATAACGTTCTGCATTGTAGTTGCATAGTTCAACTAATTCTGAAGCTGATTTTATATGCTCACTTGTTTGTTTTTGTGCATTTGAATATTTGTTAGATAACGTTCCTAGTGACTCATGTAAATATTGAATCTCTAAATGTAATTTCTTTGTATCACACATATATCTATAGAATCAATAAGGTCCATTCTTTCCTTCCTTAATGCTATATTTTTATGAAAACAGTTATTTCTTTTAATTAACTTTCCTGTTCTTTTTATAAATTTACTAATGCGAATATACTTTTTTAGTTTTTTCTTGCCAGTTACACAGTTTTGTACAGCAGTGTTCTCATAAACAATAGGCTGTTGATATTGTGTCAAGGGCACTCCGGGAGATGCCATTAATTCCTCAAAAAGGCTCTGTGTATGTGCTGTTTCCTGAAGTTGTTGAATTTCTTTATAATGTGCTAGTTGGTTATTTGCATCAATAAGTTCTTTTTCTAGGTCTGTGATACGTTGAAGAGCCCTCTCATATGTGTTGAACAGCTGGTCAAAGCTGTTGACAGTGTCGTTAAGATGGTCTCGTTGAAGAATCCCTTCCATGTGTTCCGAGTGAAGTTGGGATAGTTCGCTCTTGAGCTGGGTGTTCCTTTGAATATTTTTCTCAATTTCCTCTTCACCCTCATCACGTTCACGAAGTAGCTGGCGACAAGTTTCCTTTGTTACCTTGAGTTCTTCCAGAGCTTGTTTCAATTTAAGCTCTGTACTTTGAACTGCTGAACTGAAGTCGTCAGTCGGCACCCTCACCACAAATGAATTAAAATTCACATTGTGACGGGACTCTAATCGTGCGTCTCTCAGGGAGAACTTGCTCTTTATCCGCAGGTACTCCACGATCTCCTCTTCCTTCGTAGAGTAATGTAGTCGGGACACGTACAGCGGCGTCGTAGGTATTGCAGGACGCAGCAGATGGTTCGGTCCAGTCGGGGCAACACCACACAAATTGCGGCGAGCGGGCCTCTTCTTCTTCCTTTCCACCTTGATGAAGCCCTCTTCGTCGCAAATCTGATTTTGTGATGCAGCCGGAGTAGCACGTCTGACAGAGAGATTGCTACTCTTCTCTTTTGCTTGAACATCAATGAAGGTTATGAGCGCAGTGATATGCAAGATGCCACCGCTGCAATAATGCCAAACACGTCATTTTTACTAAAAAGCAGACTGCCTAGAATAAAAGATACCACTACTCCAATAATACTTAAAACGCTAATTAACCAAGAAGCTGATTGCCTACAATGTATCGTGACTATAGTGTCGCCGCACACGGGCCACCGACTACAACCACAAAACGCCGCCACCGGCATATTTCTTGTAGTTTTCATCCATTTAAATGGACTCGCCACACACGGTACGCCGGTGGCCGCCACACGCTACAAATCGTCGTTGCTCGCTTCTTGTGGCCCGCACCGGCCACTTAATGCGCCGATACAAAACGCCGCTACACGTCACTTGCGCGATTCCCCACCCCTCTCTGCCTTACCTTAGTCGGCCGCTGTCGCGCGCTTTAGCCACTTTAGTAGCCGCTTCTAGCTTCTCGTGGCGGCGTTTGTGGCTGTAGCGTGTGGCCTGTGTGCGGTGACACTAATGGTTGCTGTCAACCGTCACTTTGGAATCTATAAATATTAATAAACATTAAAAAAACTGTATTTTTAAAACTAAAAACAAATGCTCTAATTGTCTAGTTAACTGTTGAGCCGCGACGTTCAACATGGCAAACAATGTGCTTCTCTTCTACTCTTTAGAAGTCATTTTATTGTGGAATCGCCTTTAGGGTGTGCAGTACGGGTTATGTTGAGACCATTGTGACCGAGCGTAATATTTAAATACCTGCGAAGCCTATCGCTAAGATTATTAATGAGATAATGCGCGAGAAATAGCAGGTCACGGTGGTCTCAGCATAGAACATTTTAAATATGCTGGGGTACATCTGCCACGGGTTCTGTCACTATTTTTCAGCCTGTGCATAGGCCATTCATATCTACCGGAGGCACTTATGCGGACAATTGTGGTCCCGTTAAAAGTTAAAAATAAAACGGGCGATACTTCCGACAAAAAAAATTTTCGTCCTATCTCACTTGCTACAACAGCGGCTAAGATACTTGACATTGTGATAAATAGCTAACTCTCTGAATATGTTTGCATACACGACGCTCAATTCAGGCAGTGTGTGTCGACTGAGAGCACAATCTTGACCTCGAAACACGTGTCAAGTACTACACCGCTAGAAGGACGCCCGTGTACCAGTGATTCCTTAACATATCAGAAGCATTCTACCTCGTCGCGTATGATGTCCTTTGGAACAGGTTAGGGAATTCATCATGTCACAGGGGATGCGGCGGAGTGAACATCGCTCCTATGATACTGGTATGCTAACCAGAAAAACCCGGTGAGATGGGGCGGTGCGATGTCGGATGGATATAGGCTGGACTGCGGTGTCAGACAGGGAGGATTGAGCTCACCCCTTCTATTTAACATTTATGTGAATCGGCTTGTCGAGGAATTGAGCAGTACACATGTTGGACGTCATATTGATGGTACCTGTGTCAATAATACACCTAATATAGATACGACGATGGACGATATAGTACTACTCAGTCCGTCGATAGCGAGGTTGAGAAAGTTGTTGGCCACCTGTAAGACATACGCAAAGTTCATGGCCTAAAATATAACGCTAAGAAAAGCGAAATACTTGTTTTTAAGGTACCTAAACAGCAACCACGTTCGATACCATCCGTTTGTCTCAATGGTGTACCACTCAAAATTGTAATTAAAAAATATCTGGGCCAGATTGTCACAGATGACCTGAGGAATGACGATGATATGGAAAAAGAGAGCAGGGCTTTTTTTTCTTTTTTTTTGAGTGTGTATGCTGTTGGTCGCAGATGACCTTTACAGCGTCACCGGGTTTGGGGACGGCGAGATCCTAAGAGGACCTCAAGCCGAGAATTGGCGAGTGCATCTAGAGATATTCCAGGCGGATGGCATTTCCCCACGGGGGGAGTCTTCTCTCCGTCTGGAGCCTCTAGACCACTCGAACCTGAGGGGTTAGCTCAACTAGAGGGCGTCACTGAGACTCGAACCTCGGCTCTAGTTAGCCGTTGTCATGGGGGGAGCGCAGGGCGTTGCCGGTTAGAATTAATATGCTTGCCCGTAGATTCACTCGATGCACTACAAAGGTCAAGGTGACTCTGTTTAAAGCTTTTTTGTCAGACCTTTTATGCTAGTGGTCTGTTGGTTGCATATTCACGGCCAGCCTATAATATCGTGCGTGTACAATATAATAATGCCTGCAGGATGCTGTTGCGGCTTCCGTGGCGATGTTCCGCTTCCAAAAACTTTCACATTTCATGCAATTATGCGTAAAAAAGCTGCTTCTTTATTACATAGTCTACGTAACAGTGGCAATGGCATCTTGAAAATGATTGCTGCTAGAATGGAGACAGAGACACTGGGTTGAAATAGCCACGGTACCTCAGAGATAATAAAAATATTAAATTGACATGTATAATATTATGATAACAGTGTATGAACATAGTCAATTATTGCAATGTCAGAGAATTTAGTTTTTTTTTTAATAATTGACATGTATAATATTATGATAATACTGTGTGAATATAATCAATTGTAATGGCAGATAATTTAGTAATATTTAATTAATATAATAATAATAGTAACATAGGATAAGCCCGACATTGTTACCGACTTGTATTTATAATTCTAAGGATGTTTATCTGAAATAAATGATTATTATTAATATGTATATCTAAAATTAACTAAGGAAAACGGTATATAATTGATAACAAACCATGAATCAACTTCAGTAAATTAGCTAGTGTTAACACGATAAGTTGTGTTTATCCTCAGTGTGGTTGTGGTCAATAAAATAAAAGCTATCAAGGACGATCTCACAGCATTATTTAAAAGTAAATGCATAATATGTATATTAAATGGCCGGTTCACATTATTCCAGTATGCGTTCGAGTCTAATAATTCAGTCTTACTATGCGAGCGTTTTCATTCCAGTTGTATTGTTTACAAAATTTCAGTATATAACAAGATATAAGATTGAAGTTAGCACACATGCGTTGTCAAATAGATACTTTATTCTTAGTTTAATGGCAAGAAATAATTGAATAAGAGTAAAAAGTTAAAAAACAGACGTATATCTTCACGTCACTTATTCTGATTGGACTAACAGACTGATGATAAAGAAGACGAGATGGTCAAAAGACGTGTTTGGGTTTGACGATGAGTTGCTGATCGCAGTGAAACTTGACATATTGTGCCGGGCCGCAGAGCGGAGCGGGCCGCAGCGCATCGCAACTTGACGGATTTCGAGTACAGTGTATTGGGCTACGTTCAAAACCTACATTTAAAATTTTGTCATAAAATGTATAAAACTTTTATATCAAAATTGACATTGGTTGGCGTAGGTTCTGAACGCAGTCCTGTCAGACGTCCGTCTATGCAGCGTATGCAGTCTGTATGCAGCGGGGCGGGGCGCATCGCATCGCACGCTTCCAAGATCCGCGGCGGATTATGCGACCCGCTGCGGCCCGGCATAATGTGCGCTATCCATAAAGCAGCTTAGACACGATGACTTTGAGGCTTAACCCTACAATGTTTGACGTTACCTTAGACAATATGATAGAAAAAGTTGCTAATGGATTAAAATAGATGACCATTCTAGGCGAGAATATCTTTTTTGTAGGAATACCTACTGTAATCCGTGAATGAAAGAATGTCAAGTCAACCGACTGGATTACTGGACTCAAACTATACTGGCGTTCAAAACTACGCAAGTAAGGCTAAACGAAGATCACGACATAATTTGAAAATCAATGTTTTAGTGCACTGTCGTATCGCTGTCCTGCCAGAACAGAAAGTGTCATCGTTTCTCTTTTGTTTTGCAGATCTTGCCTTGAAATAAGAATCGCGCATTTCAGTTGTTTCATGTTTAAATTCCATCAGTATTGTGAATGAGCGTCGTGCATTTATACGCCGCGCTTGCGGCAGCGGCTACGTTTTGCACCTACGCACATGTTGGCGGCAGCGGTCAGCCCAGGCTTGCGTGCAAATTGCTTCAAGAAACCCACTCGAAAACGGGTAAGTTCAAGAACATATTTTTCGGCATTTAAGTTATTTTTTACGTTACAAGGGTGGCAAAGAAGCGTAGGGTCTGCCTGATGTTAAGCAGCCACCATAGCCTATATATATATATACGCTTGTGATACCAACAATATCACTCGCAACAGTGCCTACCCTGACCCTATCTCCTACCCCATGGAGCCCTGAAACCTTACTCACCGACAGAAACACAATACCACCAAATGTAATTGGTATATATGTCGTGGTCATATCGTAGATTTGCTGGCTTCATGAAATGCTCGAGAATTTCATGAAATGGTCGCATTTCATGAAATGTTTCACTATCTATTGACCACGTCATGATGTGGTTTCGGCAGATCAATGATGAGAAATCGTTACACGATATGGCCAACTAAACGCGTGGCTACTTCATGAAATGGCAAAAAATATTTGATCATATTGTAAAGTAGTGACATTAATTACCGGTAGAGGCGCTGCAAGCGCTTTGTTTATATATGTATATGGCCGCCGCTGCCGACAATGTTATTTCTCGCAGTGAAAAAGTGCATAATTCGTTATTTAATGAGGAAGTAAGTAATAGCAAAGGGTTTTCGACGAAACAATTTAAGGAGAGTAGGATGACTACGCAAACAAATCTATGGACTATTACTGGCTGTCAAAATATGACAATTTGGAAACTGCGGTTGAGGTACAAAGTGCGGATGAGAATCAATGCCGTACAAAGATATACTGTAAAACTGTACTTCCAGGGCCCAAGAGGTGATATTTGAATATCTTTTGTAGAAAAGGTCACTTTTAATAGAGATTTTTTTCTGGCGCTGCGCCGGCCGCTGCCGCGGCACGCTCGCTTTGCTCGCTCGGCTCGCACGTTACAACACTAACCTAACATAACCTAGTGTGAAGTATTACCGTTTGGGCCCTGGAAAAACAGTTAAGCCTACTATTGTAATATGTACCAAAGTATCTTATTATTTCTAAATATTTGATAGTTTTCTAAACATAAATATGTAAATTCTTGACATGTTTGATGTTTAATTTTGAAAAAAAAATCTGTAATTAGTTTATTTTGTTACAAAAATTTTATTAAATTGGTTTGTGTCATTCGGATTTAAATAACAATAAACGAGTTCTTACTTATTCTGGATTTTTAATTAATATTTTATGGACACCCTAATTATACGATCCGGCCAAATGTGGATGACCAAATCGTTAAATGTTGACGATTCAATGATCTGGTCAAATTAAGTTGCTCACTTCATGAATTGTGACCATTTCATGAAATTCTCGAGCATTTCATGAAGTGAGCAAATCTGCGATATGGCCACGACATATACATATACGAGTATATGCTTCCAAATCGCGTATTTACAACCATTGTGTTAGAATCGGAAGTATCTAAGTGTAAGGTGAAGAATTGCTTTTTTCACTTTATATAAAACACAAAGAAATAATATTACTCTGTAGTGTTACATAAATTATTGTGGTAAAGTTTTTCTATTAAAGAATACACGAAATAAGGATCGGGCCAGGAACGTGAGGATGGGTTACTCCTTGAATTAGTTTGAGGATCGATCTTTATGCCTTAGACAGTTGGTACTTAGGTGGGTATAGCCCATGGCCTTGGCTTTTCGAATTTGCTTTATTAACTCTCTTTTCTTTCTACGCATTTTCGATTTAAATGTGTCTTTCTAAAACGAACTTTCGTGCTTTGTTCAAAACTTTCAGAAAATTAACACTGTACAGGAACATAACCCTAGTTGAAGGGCTGGATACACTGTGTCAAGTTGCACAGTTCATGTTGACGAGTTGCTCGTAGTTGCTCGCACACGTACACACTTTAAGAAAATTAAGGGAAAAAAACTACAAGATTTTCTCGCATTGTGTAAATTTTATTCTATTTTAGTTATAAAGTACCTATTTCCACTTTGAAGTCGATATGAGTATGTATTTTTGTACCTGCAGAAGAGGGTGGTATTCGCGATGAAATTTCATTGTCGATGTACGAGCGCGAGCGCCGGTTGCAAATGATTTATGACAAGCGCGCACCAAGTCGCGCTGCCGCTGCACTGCTTACAATTGTGCTACAAAACTGCCTACGGTACCGGAACATAACCCTGGTTGAAGGCTTGGATACACTGTGTCAAATCGTACAGTTCGTGTTAACGAGTTACTCGTAGTTCCTTGCACACGTAGAAAAGAAAACTTTAAGAAAATTAATAAAAAAAAACTACAAGTTTTTCTCACAATGTGTAAATTTTATTCTATTTAAGTTATAAAGTACCTATTTGAACTTTGCAGTCGATTTGAGTATGTACTTTTGTACCCACAGAAGAGGGTGGTATTCGCGATGAAGTGTCATTGTCGGTGTACGGGCGCGAGCGCCAGTTGCAAGTGATTTATGACAAGCGCGCACCGAGTCGCGCAGCTGCTGCGCTGCTTGCCGTCGTGCTGCGATATGGCCTGCGGTACCGGAACGTAACCTTGTTTGAGCGCCCGGATACACTATGCCAAATGGCCAAGGACATGCAAACGAAATGCTCGCAGTTCGATGAATCCGACTCCATATTTAATAAGTAAGTGAATAAGTTCATTATATTAAAGGAAGATACGTCCATAGTTTTTTTTATTTTTCTTGAATTTTTTTGAATCATAAATCTAGCAGCTAAATCCTGTAAATAAAAATATAAACTACATATACCTACGACCTACACAGCTTAAAGGCTAATGAGCCTGTCAGAATGTCGCGTTGTTGCGATTATTGACGTTTGGTTGGCCATCAATAGTCTTAGTTTCATTCAACTATCGACCTGCTCAATGTAAGTGGTAAAACTTTATTAGCCGTTCAATTAATAGCCCAACTTTGTTTATTTACTTTTTACTATACGGCGCTGTTTAAGTAGTGGCGAAGGATACTCAACTGTAGACACTAACTTTTAATACTTACAATATTCATCGTGATTCTAAAAACTCAACATTTACAACAAAAAAATCCTGGCTGTATAGGTTTAGCGATTGTCTTTCTATTTAGATATAAATAAAAGTAAAAAAATATATTGTTATTTTAAGCATTAAACTGAAATGTCCACTTGAAGCAATTTTGCTAAATCTTGCTAAATATTTTCTAAAATATATTCAACTAAAACTATCTCATAGAGAAATGTCCAAACGTCAATGGTAATTTGACAATCTTGTATGGGCTAAATCCAGTTTTAGTCAAATCGAAATTTAGCAAAATTATTACAAGTAAAGGCTTACGCCTAAGATATATATGTCACCGTCAATCTGGCATGTGGCATCATTAAGCGCATTCTACAGACTATACCATTGCGAGTGTTTGGATGAGTTATTCTCCCTTATCCATCCATCACCTTTTCTTCAGAGGACCACGCGCGCTAACCTACCTTGTCACCGCCTTACTTTGGCCACTATTCCTACACCAACAAAGAAATTTGGTGACTCATTTCTTTGGCGTACTATTCGTAAGTGGAATTCTTTGCCCGCACATGTGTTCCCTCCTTCCTACAATCTGGGGTCCTATAGGAGAGGCGTGAAGAATCATTTTTGCAGGCTGGCAAGATGAGGATGGTTGGTGTATGGCAAAATGGCAAAAAACGGAGCCCTTATGTCCGTCCGTATGTCACAGCCACTTTTTCCGAAACTATAAGAACTATACTGTTGAATCTTGGTAAGTAGATGTATTCGGTGAACCGCATTAGGATTTACACACAAAAATAGAAAAAAAAACAATAAATTTTGGGGTCTCCCCATACTTAGAACTGAACCGCAAAAATTTTTTTTTTTCATCATACCCATACGTTTGGTTATCTATGGATAAGTGTTCAAAAATGAAAATGTGCTGCTATTAGTTTAATAAAGGAAATTTTCTGTTACGAAAATGATTTTCTTCATTATAATGTCAGGTAGGTACCATCATAATTTTTTTCATTTTCCTTTCAGATTGGTACTAATTCCAGCGACGAGCTGGACTGGTGATCGGTGCGAGGAAATGGAGATATGCAATGTAGATGTGGTCCCACTTCGGCTGCAGGTAGCCAGCGGGGGTGCAGCGTCACTACGTCTGTACCTGCACGTAGTACTGTCAGCTGATGCTCGCACTCTACCTGAATGCAGACACGCTAGTCACTGGTACACGAATCACTCGTATCTGACGACGTGCGGATTTATAAACCGCTCTGTGTACGTACTAAATATCATCATCATCATCAGCCTATTAATGTCCCCACTGCTGGGGCACAGGCCTGCCCTATGGATGGAATAGGGAGATTTTGCCATGACCCACCACGCGGGCCCAGTGCGGATTGGCGGGTGCTAACGACTGCAGATGCAGCCGGGACCAACGGCTTAACGTGCCTTCCGAAGCTATTTATTATATTATCGATTCAGTTTTTAAACCTAACAATAGGAATACTTTATAAATAATGGATACCCGAGATTTCATACGCATAGAATAATTAATTTTCTATAAAATAAATATTTCCTGTTTCTCTCTTTTAAGTTAAAATTTCGCGATAAAATGTAGTTTTATGTTCCTCCCATTAATCTACTTCACTCAATACATGAATATCAATTCAGGAGTGATAGCGTAACAGACAACCAGTCCCTGTAACATGAGCAGTAAATTATACATTTTATCAAGTTTTTGTGTCGTGTCTAACTGTCAAACTCCATAGTAATTTGACAGTTGAGCGTGATAAAAACGTATTATATATCATATCGCGGTCTCATGCTAGAGTTATATTTGGTTCAATTCAATTATTTAAATTTAATGCAATACAAGTGGAAACCTTCCTTTATTTTTTGTAGTTTGTTAAATGACATTTTATTTTTACAGATTGGATGGGATAGATCATGACAGTTTGGTAAACCATACCGAATTGTGGTACGCAATAGATGCACCTGGAGGAAATAATACAGTTTCTGAACTAAAAAAACGACTAGAAAATGTAGTAGCAGAAGCAAAAACTTTATTTTCTATAAAATTTGTGCCATTAAACTCAGAGACGTACCTACATCAACGTATACTAGGTGCCGCGAGAACCCAAAACTCGTCTGTTTTTTTTCTTGATTATAATATTTGGGAAAATGTACAAGGCGTACAATTAGTGCAGCCACCGCCATGTACGGGGCAGGATTGTGATCAAGACCTTGACTCTATACGTTCATTACGTGTAGCTGATATGATAGTATTAAAGCAACTCGCCCCTCGTTTATTGAAAGTATTTGAACAATTTTCACCTACACCGACGCAGTTGCGTGAGGTGTTGCTTGAAACGGAACAATCCAACAGTTTATCAAATGCCGCATGTAAATGGGCAGCAAACAACACATCAAGTTTCAAAGCTTGGTATCAAATTGAGTTTCGCCAACATTACTGGATAGCAGTATTCCTATGTAAAAATGACCAAGAATTGGATCATTATAAAAAAATTGCTCGCGCTGTTGAACGGTTATATCACACAAGTTCAGAATTCAATGTTTCGGTATATTTTATTGAAATTGATTGCACAAGTGAAAGCGATCTAACCCATAAATTTATAAAGGCTACTGTATCAAGTCGATGGCCAAATATGATAGGGGCAATAGCAGCCGGTGCAGGTGCAAAAATGGTAGCAGAATATGCGTTACAAATGGAAACTGCTTTGATATTGTATGATATGCCAAGCGAGAGTGTAAGGCTTGGGTCTGCTGTGTATGCTGCCGGTGGTACTTTAAACGACCTTGCGATTGCAGTGCGATATTTTATTACCTCTCATAAATGGCGACGGCTCGCAATTCTCTCAGAAGAGACACATTTAGCAAGTGATTTTGTTATAGCCCTTCAACGTGATGAAAACCTTATTATACGCAACGTACCATTACATACAGATATTAAACCTATAGAAATATTGCAATCACTAAAAAAATCAAATGCGAGAATTTTATTGATTAATACAATCACAGATATTTCCAAAGAAATACTTTGTTTAGCACTACAGTTAGAAATGACATATTCTAATGGATATGTGTGGATATTGCGAGAATTGCGTATGCATAATCTTAGCTGTGATAATTCATTGACCTTAGAACATGCAAAATATATAACCATATCTTATTGGTGGCAGAGGCAAAGTGACACACATTTATTCTTGGGGAAAGATACATTGGGAAAAGAAAATGTTTTTCACCAAGTTTTAAATAATTTCAATGGGAGTTTCCCTCATTTAACAGTCCCAATGATCGATGCTTTGCAAGTTCTAATAGAAAGCTTTCACACGTTCACAAGGAACTTTTCTTGGCGTATCTATGACATACATGGAAACGGAAGTGTTAGGTAGTCTCTTTAAAAATATATATATTTATCACTATAATACTTCATAGCATAAGGAAAATTAATGATTTCTTCTTTGCAGGTTACTTCTAAAGACCTTAGAAGAAAAATATTTTAAAGGTGTGCTCCAAAACCTACATTATGTCAAAGGAGCTCTTAATAATCCTTTAGTGTTTGTTACTGAATGGATAGGCAACCACCCTGTATCAACTGCAAAATGGATTGTCGAAAATAAAGACATAAAAATTTTTCAAAACCAGGATTTTTACAAAGAAAAAATACCCACGGATGGCACTTCTATTTGCCTAACCACTTCTGTCGGAAAACCTTTTGAACCAACCTGCCAGGATAAGTTATGGTTTCCAATCAGTGGTTGTCTGCTTATAATTGTTTTGTTTTTGTGGTTATCGTGGAGAATACGAGTTAGAAATCTAGCTTACCATGACTCTATCTTAACCGCACAATTATTGGCACAAAGAGAGGTTATTTCATCTCAACTCGTAAACCACTTTGTAGACCGTGGTGCTCTGGAACTTTATTATGACTTAGGACGAGGACAATTTGGTAGAGTACGATATGGAGTACTACGAGTACCTGGTCGTTCACCAATATCGGTAGCTGTAAAGGAACTTTTGGATGACTACGCGCCGGTTGAAGAAAGTGAACTGATACAAGAAGCAATCACTCTTGCCTCTCTGCAGCACCCTCACGTGGTACGACTTATAGGTGTTTGCACTACAGATGGACCTCTCCTTGTTTTAATGGAATACGCTTTTTTTGGGAATTTGCGAGATTACTTCTGTGAGAGACGACATTTCGCTGAGAGCGCCACAGGGTACACGGATTCTTTAAACGAAGCCTTTTATGTATCAGCTGAATCAATAACACGGTTGGCTTGGGAGGCATGTTCCGCTTTGGATTATCTATCTACAGAGAGACTGGTTCACCGAGACATTCGTGCGATTAATTGTCTAATTGACGAGCAACGCTCACTAAAATTAGCAGATTTTGGATTGGCTCGGACAATTGGGACGGGCACTCCTGGTGGTGACGACGAGTACTTGTGCCGTAGTCGCGGGCTTTTTCCAGTTCGTTGGATGGCGCCTGAGAGCTTGGATATGGGCGTGTTCACTATGGTATCAGATGTGTGGGCGTTAGGAGTACTACTACTAGAAATGGTCACTCTTGGTGCTCGCCCGTATGGTGACTGGCCATCTGATCGTGTTATAAGCTACGTATTAGCGGGTGGATATCCACCGCTGCCAAATGATATTTCAGAGGAAACGTAAGTTCGCAGTCGATAAATATTAATGCTCGAGAAGCTCTTCGAACATGAACTCAATCAAATAGTAGTAACTTATTAATTGTCCCACTCCACCCGGTAATCAGTCAGAACTCTGCACACAAAATTGTCGACCAATATATGTATTTAATAATTACAGTAATAATTTTAAATATCGACGATATGTAGAATATTCCTTTGTGATCAGTGTTATTTAGATGTTATCAAATTAAATTCATTCACTACAGGTGTTTCATTTTGACGTCTTTCTGAAATCAACTTATTAATGTGATTACAGGCGACAGCTGTTGATGAGGTGCTGGGAACCAGTACCTGAAGAACGCTTAACTGCTGCGGAAATAGCAAATGAACTAATGCAAAACTCTGCACTGCTGCAACCGGCCCTTGGACCTACCGATCCTATTCACAATGAAGAGAACCCTGAATCGAAAGATTACGTAAACCTTAACCGTAATAATATCAATAATCTTTTTAGATGAGTGGCCTAACTTTTGGTAAAGCTGCCATTAATTTTTAGGATTCCGTACCTCAATCGGTAAAAACGGAACCCTTATAGGATCACTCGGTTGTCTGTTTGTCTGTCGCAATAAATTTAAGCGGATTCTAGGTACTGGACCGACCAAGTTGAAAGGACATTGCTCGTTCCCCATACATTGAATGCCCCAGAACACACAACAATGAGAAAATGCTAGTTGTGTTCGGAAACATTCATAAACTCTCATTAGGCATTTACTACGGACAACTTGAGAAACCGTGGCCTACTACAGATTGTATTCTATTTCAAGGTTCTCATTATCATACTTAAATTTAAACGATGTACACTTTATATATTCTGAATAGATTTATTGTTTACCTCTATGCACTTAAATAATATGAATTTAATGAACATAAAATGTGATTAATAATAAATGCTCAATTTCATATTGATTTATTGAGTGTTGGCAGTTAGCACCTATGATATATATACCTACCTGTTTAATAATAGATTTCTTTTCAAATGAAATGTTGAAAGGTTTTCAATTTACCTGTTTCTATATTTTATTATTAGTAGTAAGGTATGTACCTAGTTATAATTATATTACCTGGTTTCATAAAAATAAATAAATATTATATGTGATGGGAGTATAAACTATCTTTACATCATTTCAGAAATTATTTATCTATAAAATATAATATAGATACTAGTGATAAATATTATTAACTTCGATTTCAAGACAGACTAGATATCGCACTCTTGAAATTGTGAAGTCTAATTGTCCCTATTCACAAACAGCACATCTCTTTTTAAAACGCTTTTGAATTAAGATGAGTAGTAGTAGTATATTTCCGTCCTTTGGGACAGGCGAAGGTACTAAGTCATACTGCCAAGTCTTACGTCTATAATTCTAGGAATTAGGATGATCTAAGGATAACATGACAGCAAATTGTGTAGTAGTTACAGAACTTTTATTTATTTTTTACCACAGAATGTCCGTTGACTACCATTAATTTCCAATAAAGTAAAAAAAAATAAAAATAATAGAGTAGGACAGAGACGGACATTCGTTTGTACATGCTGGGGCAGATTTCGTCGATGTTCTTTGGTACAATTGATTCCGAATATGGGGGTTACTGGTGAATACGAAAATTAAAATTAAGAAAACCTATTAAAATTGACCTGAGTAATTTAAAAGAAACCCAGGGCTAAATTTTTTTTTTTTCGGAAATAAATGAATTCTATCTAGATATTATTAAACTGTGCCATTGTTGCGTTTCTGTCAGTGAGTAAGATTATAGTTTTGTTGTGTCGGGGCGTTCGACTGCGATCGTTGAACTTAAGCAACTCTCGCAGTGGTCGGTCATTGGATGGGTGACCAAAAATTACTATCTCAAGCTCCTCCGTGCTTCGGAAGGCACGTTAAGCCGTTGGTCCCGGCTGCATCTGCAGTCGTTAGCACCCACCAATCCGCACTGGGCCCGCGTGGTGGGTCATGGCCCAATCTCCCTATACCATCCATAGGGAAGGCCTGGGCCCCAGCAGAGGGGACATTAATAGGCTGATGATGATGATGATGATGTGTCGGGGATCGGAGGAGTGGGGGAAAGGGGGGTATGGTGGTCGCTTACCATCAAGAAGGGCCATAATGCTTGTATGCTACCTTTTATACATTAAAAATACCGTTGCATCTTTCAGTGTTGTGATAAATGTAGAATAAATATGTAACATTTCCTTTCCTTAACTTTCCTTTCTCAAAAGAAAGTTAACTTAATGAATTTACGTTACTAACGGCCGCCCGCGACTTCGTACGCGTGGAGTTAATTATTTGCACATACTTTTTGACCCCTGTTCTAAAAACTATATTATAGGCTTGGGTATCGATTGTAGATCACACCCCAAGTATTCTTTAAAAAAATATTCAATGTACATTGTTGACTTGTGTAGGGGCCGTTACTAGGACCCTAACGACTGTCAATTTGTCAATTAGTCACGGGACGATTGTCAGGAGATAATTATTAAAATACGTCAATATGATGTGAATGCCTTTATTGCACTGTCATATTATGTAAAATATTGTTCTTAAACCAATTAGTGGGTCAACTGTGTCAGCAGTTTAGAGTGCATCGACTCGGAATGCAAACTTAATGAAATATAATTAAAATGGCTTGTACAACTTGCCTACCATTTTATTATATGTATATAGATTCCGTATTACTATTGTCATTTTGCCTACATCCTTTGAATTGGATATTGGAAGCGTTGTTAAAACCATTTGTTGTATAATCTGTGTTATTGAAGTTATACTTCTTTAGGCGCGTTATGAAAAAAATGATGAGAGTGAAATTTTAAGATGCGCGCGCATCACTGTAACACAAAATTTTAACAGCATGAAGTTGGTCGCTTTAGCGACCAACTTAATGCGTTACTTTTGTGTTTACCGCACATTAAGAAAATCTACCAACAAAATAGAAATAGAATCTCTATTTAGTGGGTGCTAACGACTGCATTGTGAAGGCCTATCAAAAGTATTTATCTGGAACAACGGAACCAAAGCGCGATTCAGGAGACTACAGCGCCATTTCTTGACCATTGGTGTAGTAGAACCAAAAACCACATCTTTATTTTTTGTAATAAAGTAACAGTTATAGGTATTCACATTTATAATATCAAAAGTATTTATTAATCTGGAACAACGGAACCAAAGCGCGATTCAGGAGACTACAGCGCCATCTCTTGACCATTGGTGTAGTAGAACCAAAAACCACATCTTTATTTTTTGTAATAAAGTAATAGTTATAGGTATTCATATTTATAATATTTATCCACGTGTTTCTAGTTTGTACATTCGGAATACGTGTTTGAGTTTCATACAAGTGCAAATCACATTATGTTCTAATAAATTATATTCAGTAGCGATTTTAATTGAATATTTTGATTATTTATTTATTTTTTCAAATTAAAACTGAACTTTATTGACTGTGTCCTTTTCCAGACTTTATATTAATTTATTGTAATTAATTATTTGCATGCAATTAAAAACTAATTTTAAACGATGCCAAAGAAGGATAACTTCTCACGCGCCTACATAAGTACACGCACCCATTTTTACCCGGCTGCGCAATGCAAGAGCGCGAAGCGCGACGCGCAGACAGGGTTATGTGTTTAACAGTCTATATATGTATGTTTGTTCCTTTGTGGCACACTAGAGACCAAACGTCTGGACCGATTTTGATGATTCATACATCAATCGATTCGTCTCAATCATGGGAGTGCTACTAAAGATATGATAATAATCAAAATTCAATATGGGCTAAATAAGGCGCCATATTGTGACGAAGTAAAAAAAATAAGTTGACAAAATATGTCGAGTGGGGTATCACTGTCTAGATAATCAAAAATCATATTTAGGTTCCTAACACTATTTTTCATTTTATATGATTGTTTAGGATCTACAACGCTTTAAAGTTGTATATTAACCACTTACGCTTTTAATTTCAATCTTACGTTTGTATGGATCTTTGTTACTCTTTCACCTAAAAAATACTGAATGGATTTTAATGAAACTTAACAGTAATATAGCTCATATATGATAATTACATATATATATAATAATTTATGTAGTTATTGAGTGAATTGGCCAATATATAACAATAAGTGTCACATAAGACGGAAAAAAATCTCCCATCTGCGAGCCATTTTGGCCTGCACTGCAAAAACAATAAAAGTTACATGAATGTAATGTAGAGTGAAAATGTATCTCTTAAATAGTTCTAAAAAAAAGTCCGTGACACCATATATCTATTTTTAATGTATAAGTCATTACCGCTAAAATAGTGAATCAAAACTAAAATATTATTTGATATCTATTTCCAAAATGCACATTTTGTATTAACAAATCATGTTTTATCAAAACAAATACTTTTATCGCTTTTGATATTTAAAGACGATAAACTTTGCTTTTTACACTATGTCATTTTGACAAATATTTAAAAAGTTACAACGATGACAAAGTGATAGCGCGGTGTACTACGTAAAAGAAAAAAAAATGGGGTATTCGCAGTATCTGATCCTATACGAAGTACTAACAATAAAACTGTGATACAGTTCCTTCTTATTAAATGATGAAAAATATATTATCATAATAGGTATTTATGATTATTGAATTTTAATGAAAAACTCAGAATTTTACTGTTTTTCATTTTTTTAACGATATTACTTAATGTTACAAAAAAGGTTTACTTAATATAATGACAAATAACCCATTCTTCGCTAGTAAGTACATACTTATTGGAATCCCTGTATTTATTAATCAGCTCGCGATAATATTGGTTTGTAATAATTCTGCAAAATTCAAAGTAAATAATGTAGATTTTTATAGGTAAATCACCCCTTTCATCACCATACGCCTATAAGTATTGCGATGTTGTAGCTAAGAACCAAGTTCCCATCTACTTCTATATGGGAATTCATTATATTCGATTTAGCTATTAGGGCACGGAAGCGCAACAAACAAATTCACTTTTGCATCTATAATATTATATTATACTTACTAGTGATCCACCCGGGCATTGTACGGGTGAAATTTATTTATCGGGATAAAAAATAGCCTATGTCACTCGGACAAAATGTATTTAAATAAAGAAAAATGTTATTATAAATAACGTAGCTACCTTATGATGAGTTAATATTTGAAACAGGTTCAGTAGTTTGACAGATTATTTGTTACAATCATACAAATCTTGCTTCTTTATAATATTAGTATAGATAGTTAGGATAAGGTAAGTATTTAATTGATGAAAAAGGTTTAAAAATAAAGTAAGTAATAGGTTTATTTGATTATATTTGTAGAAGTTACTTAGCATTTGTGCTTAACAGTGATACGTTATTCGGTATTTTTTATACAAAAAAAAAAATTGGAAAATAATTGCCATGATTGCACTACTGGGAGTACTCTTCATTCGAGCTTTACACTACCAATAAAAAAGGGTCGAACATAAAGTCTTTGACCTGTTAAATGTGAACGCTTTAAAAGAAAACTACAAAGAGAACTATAAATTGATAATAAATGAGATTGCTATGGTGCTCTACCTAATTTTATGAAAATTTTATTATGCGCCTTTAGTTTAATCAAATATTATAAACTTTGCTTTGGTGATTGCATAATTATTTAATTTAGTGATCTAAGGCAATTGCCACCATTGTCCAAAACAGCAGACAGGAATTACTGCTTTCTTCAACCTGCGACATAAACGTCATTGATTGGTATTGTATATAGGGTGATTAAAAACATTTGAAGTTAACTTCTGGCATCTACATATTGGGTTTCTGTGAATTATGTAGGTTAATCAAATTATGAGACTAGGGACTGACACTGAATTTGTGTATATCACAATCTTAGACGTCCGGCATTGACATGACAATGCAGCCACTGCCAATTTTAAATAGTCGACGAATAAAAGTAAATGAATTTTATATTTACTGCTAAACTATTAAAAAAAAAAAAAACAAAAGATGACTTTTTGAGGAAGTGCTAGTTTACTATAAAATTTACATACATAAGAGATATTTATATAACGACTTGATTTAACTTCACACATTTTTGCGAAAATTGAGGCCCATCTGTAGCCTTGACCCCGCTGGTAAAGTCTTTATATGTCTTAATAAATCAATCTTTTAGATCGACGCCAGGTACTTAATAATTCCTGCGATATTAATTCCCATACTGAAGTACAAGACTACGGTATATACCGTCTTAAAAAACTAACTAACTAAAAAGTGTGAAATAAAAAAGGTAAATTTAAAAAATCAAAAAACCCGACTGCTTAATTATGCTTCAAATAAAAACTGAAAAGAAAAAAACAAGTCCAGTAGTATATAATTCTGTTAATAAGGAACAAAGCTACTTTAACAGTCGGGACCCACTGTTGAAAAATATTATGTATTCTTGAATATCTAATGGGTCCCGACTGTTAAAGTAGCTTTGTTCCTTATTAACAGAATTATATACTACTGGACTTGTTTTTTTCTTTTCAGTTTTTATTTGAAGCATAATTAAGCAGTCGGGTTTTTTGATTTTTTAAATTTAAATTTACCTTTTTTTTATAGTTAAATTAATGCTGGTTACTTACACTCTGCGTAGTGTTAAATAATTATTATTTTTAATTTATCTTCTGAATAATAAAAGGTAACCGTTACTGGCTGCTCTATCAATCATCATCATCCGCCTATTAATGTCCCCATTGCTGGGGCACAGGCCTTCCCTATGGATGGAAAAGGGAGATTGGACCATGACCCACCTCGCGGGCCCAGTGCGGATTGGCGGATGCTAACGACTGCAGATTCAGCCGGGACCAACGGCTTAACGTGCCTTCCGAAGCACGGAGGAACTCGAGATAGAAGATTTTTGGCCACCCATCCTATGACCGACCACTGCGAAAGTTGCTTAACTTCAACGATCTCAGCCGAACGCACTAACCACCCACGCCATTGAGCCCCTCAGATCTCTATCAATCGATCAAATCAATAAACAGATTGGCGAAATTTGGACCACATATATCCATTATGATGTAGGCATGCGCTTTGAAAGTATTTGCCAAAAATCACCCCCTACTTAAAAGGACAAAACAGTGGTTCAAAGTTTGTATGGAGCACCAAGAATGCGCGGTTAATCTAACGCGAGCGAAGCCGCAGGCAAAAGTTTTTAACTAAAAAAACCTGTAAAACGAATTATAAAATCTAACGATTGGTACCTATCTAGGTATATGATAATATAATTGAGTAGGTAATTTTAAAATGTTTTTACTTTTATTGCATACATTGACATACATCCTTATTAATAAACAAGGAATAAGCTAAGTAAGACTAGTTACACCGTGTTTTGTTCGTTTGTTCTCAAATACCATTTGTCATTCAATCAACCGATACAAAACATAGAGTAAATAATCCAAGCTTAGTCTTCGTTTATTGTTAAGGAGGTGAATGTGGGTTAATAAATTTCTCATTAATGAACGAATTAAATAATTTATTAATTCAAAATTTGAAGTTATTTCTGATAATTAAACGTAAATATAGTTTTTGAAAATGATAATTTAACAAGAGATGCTATGATGAAATATATGAGAATAGCGCCATCTTACAAAGACACCAGACAACTACTGCGTCAGAAAGCATAGCACTACAATATACGTTTACTGTGAACGAACGAATACGTGGTATGGGAAAAATTCTCCAGGTGTCTCTTGATAATTTGAAATTAAAATATAGAGCTCACTTGCACCAAAGTTTTTCAAAAGACCAGAGTCTACCGTATCGAAGAGACGAACGTCAAATGTTTGACAAAAAATTAGGTAGATCAGTTTGTATGAGAAAATAGTTTTGTTGTTTTTACTATCTTCCTCGCAATTTTTCCATTTATTCTCTTACCGTTTAAGCTGGACTACGGCACACATTTCAGGACCAAAATCAGGTAAACGGTCCAGCCGTTGTCGAGTTTTATAAGATTATAAAACAAAAACAATTTTAGATCCCTGCGCAGACGAGGGACTTTTGTCCACGGACTTTTTGTCCACCAAAATAGATCGCTTACATCGAATAAGGCACATGACAGATTAAAAATGCCGCGTACAAAAAATCTCTCGAACAACCGAGGACGCCGCGAGATAAAAGTACGCGGTAGTCCTCGAAAAAAATAAAACTAATGTGAATGTACAGATCCCACAAAAAAATTAAAAAGTTTCCTGCGCTTTTTCCTTTTGAATAGTAGATAAAATAAAAACAAAACTGTGTCCAGGGCGAAACAAGAGAGATTAATCCGTTCTCAATGACTTATTATACTTAAATAAAACAACCTTTCATATCGGTACAACGCCATCTAGTGGCAGATGTTATAACTACTACTCATACATATTTTTAATGCTTATTTGTACAGTGACTATGTAGGCACAGCAATGCAAACAGAGAACTTTATTTATACGTTGCGATCCGGAAGAGGTGGACCCAGTATTATCTTTTATAGCACAGTGTGACCTAAACCCGCACTTTACGCACGCTTTTCCGTGACCTAAGTTGCCTATTTCTGCACGGTGTGTAAATGAATTGACCAACTTCACTCATGTAGAAAAAATAAAAGGAAACACATTTAAATGTCATTTGGAGCTTAAAAACTCACAGCAAACATATGACAAATTAGCGATATGTTAGGAATTCTTGTTTGAATTATACGAGTACAAAAAATAAAGCTCATTCCCGTAGTTTAATATATTGTTATGCCAATCAAGGAATAAACGTTCATGGATACATTGAAATTCTATTTTGTTGTAATGATATTTGATTTTTTCCTTTTGAAATATACTTTCAAAATGGTAATCTGAACCGGAATTCTTTCTTTTCAGAGTTTGACTTGCAGTCTGTATTGCAATTCTTTGTGATTGCAATAATGAATTTTACTTTCAAAACACTAACCCCCCCTCTTGCCCGCGTCCGGGGCGGGTTTATGTCACACTTGCTATAAAATAGTATACGATACTTGTGGCCTCAGTTGTCTATTACTGCACGGCGTTTAGCACCCTCGCTCCGCTCGGGCGCTAACTTCACGCCGTGCAGTAATAGGCAACTTAGGTCACGCGTATCGTAATGTACTATTAAAACGTCTGCTTTTCTCTGAAGCTTCACGTCAAATACAATAGGTATAGGTACAACACAATCTTAGAATATTAACTATGGCAGCGTGGGCTATACTAAAATTTCGGTGGACAAATGGTCACACGTCCGTGACAAGTCCGCGACGGATATTTTCTTTACGATTCAGGGACTGTTGTCCTCCGCGCACAAAAGTCCTTCGTCTGCGCAGGCCGAAGTGAAGTGATTTGCTAAACTGTAATCAGTACACAAGTAGGTACTTACAGAATTTGTATTCGTTTAGCATTAGGTAGTGAATCCACGCACACACGACGAAATCTTTAATATTTTAAATAGGCCTGAAAGAAGAGCGAAAGTACTCTGCTTATAATTATAAGTAGCGGATTTCAAAGACACAAGTGACGTGATGTCTTCATTTTCTTGTTATCACACAGAAAGTGACTACGTACACTTTAGGCACACTAAACTTGCGTAATCCACAAAGTGCATCTCCATTTTGCAAGAAGAAGAAGAAGAATAAATAAATAATTATTTCCAACACTCACACCAATTAGCCTAGCCCCAAAGGAAGCAGGCTCGTGTTATGAGATACTAAGGTAACGGCATAGAATACATTATATAAGTATATTTATTATAGAAATACATATTAAACATGACTATCATAACCATGACTGGAGTACAAATGCTCGTTTTCATCACATAACATCTGCCCCCACCGGGACCCGGGACTTCTCAGACAGTAGGCGACACCTTGAAACCCGCGTACTCGGCCACGCAGGTCGTCGATAAGATTAATTGATGTCTCTATGGCCGTATACAGAAAGAAAGCCGAAAGCCGATCGGCGCCGATCGGCGCTTATCGGCGCCGATCCTTCCTACATAAAGGAAGCCGATTAAAGCAGATCAAGCAAAATGTCGGACTCATCGGACGATGATTTGGTTTTGTTAGAAAATGTTTATTTAAAAATGCGAAAAACAGCTATACATCCTATAAATAGAGAAAGGAAACGTTTCGGAGAATACCATCATTTATTTGTAAAAAAAATTAAATTTGATGAACAAAGATTTTATACATATACAAGAATGATTCAAGAAACATTTTATTACATTTTGGATTTAGTGAAAAACCGCTTGATGAAAAATTGGGGCAATTGGCATAAACAACCAATCCTTCCAAAAGAAAGACTTGTTGTCACCATTCGGTAAGTACGAAACAAATAATTTTAGCGCTTAGTTAATAAAAGATAAAGTTATTAGATTTATAAAAAGATTATAACTTAGATTGATTTAATCTAAGGATAATAATTCAAATACAAATTATTTATTATTCGGACCAGCGCATGTCGGCGCTTATCGGCGCCGGTCCATAGAAAAAGGATCAGCGACCGGCGCTGATCGGCGCCGATCGGCTTTCGGCTTTCTTTCTGTATACGGCCTAAGTATGGCGTTAGCAACGTCAACTATGAGACATCTTTCTTAATTATTTATTCTTGATAGGGCTAGGGCGAAGCCAAACAAGCTCAATTTATTGAGTTATGAGACGCGCAATTTCGCTTGCCTTATTTCAGCTGCTATCGGTTTCAAAGCAAAGTCCTGCAGGCCAAAGTTCAATTGTGGTCCAGCTTAGTTCAATTCTAAATGAAGCTCAACTTTATACGAAATCTGTAATCACGCTAATTTTCACTTGTCAACTGAAATCTACTTTATGTTTTTGACTGAAGTTCAATGGAGTACGGTCCAATCGAGAGACGTTTACATCTCAACTAGCTGTCAAAACTTTAGCACGTTACGAAATGTCATAAAAAGTTGCGGTTCGTTTTCGTTTCAGTCGTTTCACAGTTAGCGCGATCGACGTCGAGTTTCATTGACACCTCGACGCAAAATGCAAAACTGAATGCAGCTTCAGTTACATGAGTGCTGACATGTGAACCCTCTACTGCTCTCTGGAAATTTGGAAAAAAAATAAAAAATGAATTTAAAGAAATTAAAAAAGCAAACTTTTATAAATGCGCTAAAAACAATCAAATAAACGTTTCGTTTAAAACTTTTACTATCAACTTATAACGTCATTACACAATTTATGTAATATAAAAGATTGTCGCGAGATTTACCTCTGTACATAAACGAAACTTGATTTGATTTTCAAATTAAGATTGAAACCTACCTACTTAAAGTTGGCGACAAGCTTTTATATTATGTAAATTATTGTATGTAATTGTATATTGTGACGTTATAAGTAGATAGTAGAAGTAAAGGATTTTTTTTTCTTACCTATTCTATATCAAAGTGTAACACCATCGAATTCCGAATGTTTGCCCTTCAATCAGTGGTGAAACGTGAAACAATGTCCGTACGAGATTTTAATTTAATTCTTATATGGCCTCGTTTGTCGGTCGATTGAAGGGCGGGGGGAAGTCACTCACCCCACCCCTCCCCTCACATCAGCTGCAATCACCGTTGTTTGCAACGAAAACAAAACTCAGTTTTATCATTTCAGAATTTTCAGATTTGTGGTCGCTAGCTGTGTATTTGATTTTGTGTTGATTGTTTGAGTGGGCTCAATGTAACGCAATAAACGCCAACAGAATTACATTTGGAACACCACTAAACAACGGTTATTTTTAACTGCGCTACAGTCCAGAAATTCACTACTAAACTAGAAGCGCTTTCTACTAAACGACGAACTTCTGCTAAATGCATACAAAGTTTCCGTCAATTTCGTCAGAGCCTTACAAATAAAATTAAGACCAATAAAATACGAGTAATGTACTTGTGCTTATGCAACTACTTTACAATGTGTCGAGATTGGGAAATATCGACGTTATTGATCGATCAATAGGCTGAACTTATTGATCGATTTTTTTTGCATTCAGGCATTACGCCTTTTAACTGATATATCATTAAATACCTACCTAGAAATTTCCTATAAAAGCGAATAATATTTCGGGACACTTATAGGTACAACTATTACCATTGCGTGGTATAAAATAGAAACGTTGTAAATCAAATCGATTTGAAACTGTCTTTTATTAGTATTTTGGTGGTTCCAGTCGTTCTTCTTAACGAAAATCTTACCCTCATGACTCCTGTACACAGTACAACTTTTTACAGTCACTCATTTGCAGTTCGAGCCGTTCAGCTGTGGAATTATCTCCCAGTTTCGATACGACGTGCGAAATTGATCCACATTTTTAAGAATCTCGTGAAGTCCCATTATATGTATTTGTGAAATTGTTGTATTATAATCTCTTTTGTAATTTCTACCGACTGGACTAGATTTGCGTATGTATTTGTATGTATATGTTTATAAATATAAAATATATGTCTATTTGTTTTTGTGTATGTATATATTAATAAATTGCATTGAAATTTACGCCGCCGTCTCTCCCACTTCCTTCTAATCCTCTCCATCCAAAGGTTGTCTGGAAGAGATCGCTTGAAGGCCGCCCATTGTAACACCTGATTTAAACGGCTCTGTATATATTGTAATGTTTTCTGTGGTGTGCAATAAAGTGTTTTGTAATGTATTGTATTGTATTGTAAAAGAAGTCATGGTAGTCTTTCTCTGAAATGAACTTTCGGTAACGAAGTTCAAACGAAATTTAATTACTTCATTTAGAGGTTATATTTATTTGTACCTATTATTTTTATTTGGCTTAGCTAAGATAATCTAAAAAATCTAACTGTATTGTCAGGTAAAAGAATATTATTGCGAATAAGAAACATAGGAACTAGGAAACGTGCAAAGTTTCTATCGATATTTCGCTTTTCGTTGAATTAAAGTAGGCCTCCCTGTACACCTAGCATGATCCATTATCTAATTCAAATAGTTTGCGAGTGCAAAATGACAATGTCAAATTTTGTATGGAAACTTGAACAGCAGCACCACAAAGTACCTAACGAGAACTAAAAATCAGTACACTTTTGATAATGACATTTCGGACTCGCAAACGTTACGAATTCGATATTGGTTCGTGCAAAAGGTATTGAATTGGTGTAGGAAGAGAAGTATGGTACTTAATAAAATGAGTCCATTTATATTTCTAACATGAGCATATGATTTATTATTTGAAAAATATGATAAATTTATAAAAATGTAAGATCTATCAGCCATAATAACATTTAATATTAATACATTTTTTTCTATTTTATTTTATGTTCTATTCTAGCATGATTCTTTAAATTTAAAACTTTATTTAACATCTGTCTCTCCTTTTCATTCTGTATAGAGATTGACAAGGATATACTGTGGTCTAATTTAATTTTAGATTTCGAGAATCAAGCCAGGGTCGAAACCATAATATAATTAAAATATATTATAAACCTTTATTATGTTATAACATTTACTAACAGCTATACAAATTAACTAAAACGGAAGGGAACGATTGTTAATTATTGGCAATACCAAAACTTTTAATTCATCTAAGTATTAAATAAAATTCTCGTGTCACAGGGTTTGTAACAAAACTTCTCCAAAGTGGCCTGACTGATTCTTATGAAATTTTGTATGTTTATTCAGTAGGTCTGAGAATAAGACATTAACTATTTTTTATATGGCTAAGTGATAAATGTTCGACGCCAAAAATGTTTTTTTTTTGGTCAAAATTTTGTTTTATTTTATGATTCGCCATAAAAATATTATACAGCCCTAATCCCTAAATTTTCACCTTTCTACCACCAACCCCTATTTCTATGACGATACGAAGTTTGCTAGGTCTGCTAGTAAAAATATATGTTACATCTAATGTATTTTTAAAACATAATATAAAATAAATTAAAAAAAAAACAGGATTCAAAAAAAATTTTATACAATCATCATTGCACAAAGTCTATTTCTGAATTTGAAAAGAAGATAAGTTTTTTTTTCATCATACACTAATAAACATATAGTCTTTGCGAAAAGAGAATGGGCGTGGCGAAAAACGGAACTAACATTAAGATTTTTATGTGGCAATCAAACCCAGAAATCTGTAAAACGTCAAAGTTTTGTATTGATACGGATTTGTTGTTTTTTGTATTTACTTATGTCTTAAAGGGGTAAAACCTTACAAATACGGTAGAAAAGCACTACAGCGCCCTTCAATCTAAATCCCATTCTCTTTCCGCACAGACTCTAACGCCATGTAAGTAAGAGCTTTAACCTTTTTTTTCAGCTTACCCCCCAACTATTTATGAAACCCTTTTGCACGGCTTAGATTGTGACCACGAAACCAGATTAAAGTACGAAACATCAATAATTTTGTAGAATTAGATCTATTGAGTGTTTCTTATATATAGATCTTAAATATAATGATTATTAAGAGAAACAATCAACACCATAATATGGTATATTATAAAGTATGCTTTCCATGCAGTTAGTACACCTCCACGCTCTCCTGGTGATGGACAGTGTCTTGACGGAACATTTCCACGTCGGCTTGGCTGTCAGCGTGGATCACTTTTGCCCGACCTTCCTGTAAAATGATCAAATCTTGTACCCCCTACGCTTGGATTAGTTACTTCATATTTTGTCTCTGTCTATTGAATGACAAATAGCATTTGAGTGACATGAACAAAACACGGCGTTACTAGTCTAAGCTTATTCCTTGTTTATTAATAAAGGGGGTAGGGTTTAAGGATTATATACTATACTAGCGGCCCGCCCTCGCTTCGCTTTGGTGTAGAGCTGAAGTGTAGACTACAGTTTTTGTTCTCAGGCTTGTATTATAGACAATGACATTCATCTATGATTCTTCTTATACCTGCATGCAAAGTCTCAGCCCGATCGGTTTAAAATTAACAAAGTTTCATACAAACTTTCATTCCTCATTTTATCCCCTTGGGGGTAGAATTGATCAAAATCCTTTCTTAGCGGATGCCTACGTCATAACATCTACCTGCATGCCAAATTTTAGCCCGATCCGTCCAGTCGTTGATAGATCACTATGTCACCTTTGAGTTTTATATATATAGATTGAACGGCAAATAAACCGGGTCAATCGCTACCTCGAACTGTGATTTTATTTTCTCAAAATAAAAAATAATTTATTTAGTCTAGGCTGTTACAAGCACTTATGAATGTCGAAAAGCTACGCAATCTTGTACTGGAAAAAGTATAAAACTTACAGCTGTCACCGTTATACCAAAAGTGCGTTTCATGGTGATTAAAATTAATAGGAATTTATCGAGATCATTAATAATTTATTAAGTTTTTATTAAAAAAATATCAAAAAAGAGTAGTTTTCCATTTTTTCCATGGTAGTAAAAAAACGTAGAAAAAACACACAGTCTGAGAAAAGGATGGAAAAACACTGAAAAAAATTATAAGAAATATCAGACTATCCTCATTTTTATTAAATGAAGGCTAATCCCAATCTTATTCAAAAATTTGCAAATCGTTAGCATTGTGTTTTATGTCTTGATTACAAAGTAAGTTGACAGCAATTAATAAAAAAAAAAACCCACGCAGACCAGGCAGCGGAGCGGTCTCGTCTGCTGCTGGTTCGCGTGGATTTTTTTCTATTAAAACTTTTCCTTAGATTTAAACATCTAGTAGTTACATGCTTAAAAAATAAATTAAAAACAATAAATTTTTAGTCATCATGGAAAGCACTTCCTGTCGATGTAGCTTGATAGTTGTAAGTTATCACTATAATGGTTGAGAAAATCCAATCAGAGTTTCAAGGTACTAGCGGGTGGTCCGGTTTATTTGCTGTCAGGTGTATTATCAGTTCGAATGCTCAACTTCTGTACTATTTTCGTGACTATGTGAAGTTGATATTAGATCCTTTTATAAAAGGAAATAATGACATTCACTCATAAAAGTCAACATAGCTATAACTCCACTTATAGAAGGCTTATGGTCCCAGCACTGAGGACCTTAATGGGCCGATGATGATGATATGGCACTTGTCGCACAACCGACGATAATTGACAAGCGAATAGAGCTATTAACTAGAAACGAGTAGGCGAGCAGCTAGAAACGGGTGCGCAGTTCCGATAACTCGTGCCACTTGCTCGCGGTGACATCGTCAGCAAAATTGCACCCCCACGCGTTTTGACGGCCAAGCGAGCGTCGCTGGGCGAATATTACCTTTGATATAGCTCTTGTAGCTAAGCGTCAAACTAATTGAGCGAGATCTCGTCGGCAGTCTGAACAGACAACGATCAACTATTAATATATGCATCTTGTCTGTTTGATTGAGCAAGAAAATAGTCAATACTAGCTATTGACTTGCTTCCTAAATAAAACGTGAAAATATGATGAAATTAATTGTTAGACCGTAACCATGAGACATCCAACTCATTCACATTCAGATTGGGCCGCGGGGGATAATTCTAACCGCAATCATTAAGATCAAAGAATTGGATATTATCCAAATGCTTCAAACGCACCTTATTCATACGGATGACTCGAAGATGCAGCGTAACTCACCCTAAAGAAATAACTAGCTCATGAATTTCATTGACAACGTAGTACTACAGTCTATGACATTGATTATGGTAGTAGCTAAAAATCTAATATTTTTATATGATATTTTATTTTTATTTATTTATCACCTCAAAATCAGCTTCTTCATTCGTGTACCGTTAGGGACGTTTGTTGAGTACAAAACATTTGTTCCCGAACTATTGTAGCTTAATTTTTAGGGTTACGTACCAAAAAGGTAAAAACGGAACCTTATTGTAGTTACTCTATTGTCTGTCTGTCTGTCCTTATGTTACGGGTCTCTAGATCGTAAAAAGAATAAGTTATAGAACTGAAATTGTGGTATTTTATGTAGAATGTTTACCCAAAGCCGAATACTTAGTTAAAATTAAAAATAAATCATAAGGACATTCCTGATATTACGCTGTGCCCCTTATTACACCCACTTGACCCTACAATAGTGTTAGGTTTAAAGCTAGCTCTGCTTGGTTTGAAACTGAATTTTCTGTCAGTCTAAAAATTATCTATTGATTGATATGAAAATTAAGCAGATAAACACAATAACAAAAACACAGCCGAAATCGACAGTCTTTCAAGAGACCTTATATGATGAGACTATTAAATACGTTTATTGTTATTCTTACCTTAGGATGCATGAGTATAAATGGTAGCTCAGCTACCAGCTCTCCACTTAAAGCTCCTAGGTACAGTTTGACCTTGGCGCTGTAGCTCACCACGATACCGAAAGCATCACGCTGCTCTGGATCCAGCAACCTGTCAATGGACAACATAACTTGCTTAACGTGCCTTATCAATTTAATTTAGTAAATAAGATTTGGCTACGATGGAGCTGGCATGATAGAATATGTCGATCAAAGCTCTTAAACAAATAAAGCATAAAAAAATAACAATATATCAAACTGATGGACGGGCTATATTTACTACCAAAAACCAAAAATTTACTACCTCGAGCTCCTCCGTGCTTCGGAAGGCACGTTAAACCGTTGGTCCCGGCTGCATCTGCAGTCGATAGCACCCGCCAATCTGCACTGGGCCCGCGGGATGGGTCATGGCCCAATCTCCCTAATTCATCCATAGGGAAGGCCTGTGCCCCAGCAGTGGCGACATTAATAGGCTGATGATGATGATGAATAGTTTCATAAAATTTACCAGAATATTTCATACTTCTGTGATATATGTCCTAGTTTTAGGTGTGTACATTTTAGAAGAATAATGCACCTTTCTTGATCTACTTTTTACGTAAATCATTTCCTAATTGACGTAGAGAACGCTGCTATAATATGTTTCGCAATTACCATCCAATGGATCTCTGGATGACGATACGATTTTTTTTATTTTTTTTATTAAAAGGTTGGCAAATGAGCATAAGGCCCGCGTGATGGTAAGCGACACCATAGCCTATAGACGCTTGCGATATCAAAAATATTACTGGCGCCGTTGCCTATCCTGACCCAATCCGCTACTCTTTAGAGCCCTATATAAATAATCACAATTATCAGACCAGTATAACACACCCACTCAATAAAGACAACAAACCAAAAGCGAATAGGTACAAATCATAGATTGCTCTCACAGGGTGGTGGAGGCGAGTGTAGTGTCGGATCGCTTGAGTTGGCCGTCCAGGGCAATGCCGCGCTTGTCACGGTTCTGGTCAATGCTGGGCGTCAGGTGCAGCACCTTCTGCAAGCTGGAGCCAGGCTGCAATGGGCATCCATCCCTGGCATAATTAAAACGTAATGTTATGCTATACTGTTTTAAACTTTCATAGTCACTAACATTATATAGGTAGTTATTAGCGGGATTGCTTCCATCTTGTTTTTTGTGTGTCTCCGATATTTCGGCACTGTTGCAAGCGCCATGATCACGGAGTAACTCCGTGATCAAGCAAAGCTAATAATAGCAATCCTGCTAATAATTCTATTATTATGCTGTTCAGATGAACTATAGTAGAAGATTCTACAGGAACTTTACAAACAATTTTATTCTCTTTAATCATCTGTTCTTTTTCAGGTCCCGTCATAACATCAGCGATGATGCGACTGCCGTCGTAGTATTGGTCCTTATGCTAAGACAGGGCCTAAAATTATTAATTAAGATTAAGCGCATAGATGAATGATTGGTCTCGCTTCACTGTAGATCATTTATCTATGATTAAGCGTTGTTCTTACTTTTATATCGTTCTTTAATTTTGTCATATTTTTCATGATATTGGTTTGTCAAAAACTTTTTAATTCTTTCTTTTCTCCTATGCTGAAGTGAAAGAAGAAAGTCGCGTATCATATCCAAGATGTAAAGAAAGTCCAACTACCGACTATCACATTTTTATACAGTAAAAAATTAAGCTATCATTAACAAAATATCACTTCATAATAAAGCATGCATCTAAATGTCTAATCATGTATAAACACTTAGGCCCGTATTACAGAAAGATTCTCAGTGATTGATCTAGCCTTGAGCATAGTAAGAAAGGGATGTCGTTATATATATCATATGACACGACACCCCTTTCTAATTGTCCTCAAGTAAAGATCAACACTTAGTTGTCATTCTGTAATACGGGCCTTAGACATTCTAACAAGATATATTTTGTAAATGTTATAACATTATTCTTATTGTGTTATTATTTTACCCATTCTATCTACGCAGCTAAAAATATTTTTAATTCATCGTTACATTCTACAACTGTTCATTAATTTGTCAGTTTATTTGTTCTTGGAATTAAATTATTTTTATTCAAGCTCTAAGTAGAATTTTGGGTAAAAGTGTGTGGTAACACCCAATTCTTATAAAAATACATATTATTATCGACTTATTTGTTTGGGCCTGATTCGATAAACTTTTTGAATTAAGTAGTACAAATAAACAAAGAGTTACAGTACTTTGAAGGAGGCGACCACGTTGCAGTACTGTCCGTTCTGGAAGAGCACCACGTCAATATTCTGCTGGACGCTAGCTTTGATCTACTTCGCCATATTGTTGCTATAATTACGTATACACATGTTCACAGCCTGGGTTTGGCCGTGCATGTACAACTGGATTCAGATATATGAGTAAATATACAAGCAGTTACTGTGTCTCGATGCAGGCAACCACGTTGCGGTACTGTCCGTTCTGGAAGAGCACCACGTCCACATTCTGCTGAACGCTCGCCTTGATCTTCTTCACCACCTTGTTGCTGTGATTACGTATGCACATGTTCACAGCCAGGGTTTCACCGTGCATGTACAACTGCAAACAGTACCTAATGTTATGATATTATGATTACTGTAAAGATACTAGATGGTATATTTCATAAGCTTACCCATGGAAAATTGATTTGTCCAAATCTAATTAAACAGGTGAATATTAAAGTCCCTTATCGAATACCTAGACATCCCATGTCAAAAAGCTTTGATCTCCCTCGTACCAATACTAGACTTGGTGAGTGTGCTCCTCTATACCGGTGTATGCGTACCTACAATGATTTACAAGACTGCAGTGTCGACGTTTTCCACGACACTGAGCGCGTATTTAATAGGTTGTTTGTGGAAAAAATAAAATTGGACCGTAACACAGACTAAATAATATTATAATTTAGTATACCTGTTTTTCATGATGGTGGATACATTTTTTGTTTGTTTAATCTGTCATTGTAGTTTATTTGTATTTATTTGAATGCTGTATTCACCTATTTATATATTTTTTCAAATTGTAATGTAAAATTATATGTTGTTGGTGAATCTTTGTCAATAAAATACAAAAAAAAAAGTATAGATTGCGTAGATGATATATTGTGAAAAAGTACCTTACTAAGAAGAATGATTATAAAATAGTATTTTTTTTATAAAATCTAAAAAAGAAACTATAAAGCTGGTTAAACTTAAGTAGCAGTCTCTATAGAGAAAGTATTATAAAGATTTTAAATTTCATAATTCTTCCAGAAACGCAGCTCTTCAACTTGTGATATATAAGGGTAAATAAAATAAGGAACTGATTCAAATTTTATACAAAACTAACACCAGAATTACCTACACCGAAAAAAATCAGGCTATTTTACGTTGCCACTCTAACATAATTTGTGATATTGACTATTAAAAATATGTATTTTTTAAATATAAATTACAGACAAAAGCAGTCAAATTAAATTTCATATTCAATTGCTAATAACTCGTTTCTTGGTGAAAGGTACTTTATCGAAAAGTTCCGATTTTGTCATTAAAATTCAAATATTTCAAAACTCGTTGGAGTTCTGGGTGTCAATCCTGTCCCACCAAAGTCCTACACCCAATAAAAAAAAATACATATATACTACAGTATTTGTTAAAAAAACTTAAGTTATCACCTGCTTGTCGAGCGTAAGTTCAAGCTCCAATTGGCCAGGCGACAACACGAAGTCCTTGCGCACCACGGTGCACGGCTGGGGACCAACCTTCGCCGGCGCGTACTGCACTTTACGAATACCCAATGCTACTGTACTCCTGCAAATCGGATATAAGGCCCGTATTACTGAATGACAACTAAGTGTTGATCTTTACTTGAGTACAGTTAGAGAGTGATGTCGCTATGTGCTATATATAGCGACATCCCTCTCTAACTATGCTCAAGACTAGATCAATCACTGAGAATCTTTCTATAATACGGGCCTTAGACTCTTAAGCCTCGATGACACGGGGCGAGTTTACAAGCTACAAGCCAGCAATTGTACTAGCAGCTTGTAAACTCGCCCCATGTCATCGGATTTTTTACCATCTGCTACTCGATGACACGGGACGAGTTACAAGCTACTAGCGAACTCGTTGGCTTGTAGCTTGTAAACTCGCCCTGTGTCATCGAAGCGTTAGATAAATTATTAAGCTGAAACTTTTATTACAACGCCACATTTTTTTTGGTTACATCATTTAGAAAGCCACATTTTTAAGTATTATTTAAATGTTCAGATCTTGTCAACAAGCATCGGTGGTTCAGTGGTAGAAAGCTCACCTGCTAGGCGGGGAGGCCCGAATTCGATTCCCGAGGAAGGATTTTTTAGGATTCCGTACACAAAGGGTAAAAATGGAACCCTATTGATGCCACTCTCTCGTCTCCCGTCTATCTGTCCGTATGACTCGGATCTCTAGATCGTATACGGAATAAGTTACAGAAACGACATTTTGGTATTTTATATTAAATGCTTGCCCAAAGTCGAATATTTAGTTACAAATTATTGAATTTGTAACTAAATATTCGACTTTGGGCAAGTAATTGTACTTAAATTATTTTCATGGGCCATACATGAAAGAAGACGAAAAAAAATATTTCCTTTTTAACCCCAGCACGTGACACATCCATCATTGTCTAGAGTTCGTTAAGTAGGATATATTTTTTTCAATAATGAAGAAATGGAGGGCCCGTCAAAGTTGTAATTTTCAGAACATTTTTGTTACGAGGTCTATCTCGAGCTGAGCTGCAGGGTGATACAGGCGGATTCTCCCACGGGCATCGCCAAACGGACACTATTCAATCTATTTAAAAAAGCATTTCGGAACAAAACACAACAAACCTTCTGTACGAACTATCGATTTCGGAGTCTCCAACGAAGAGTTTGTCATAGTAGTGGACTCCGCAGGGTTCACCCTCGTCTTCAAGACCGGGCTGCAGGGTGACAGAGCCGGGTGGCCTCGCAGGCACGGTCAGACTGTCACTGTTAAATCTATTTTAAATAGCATGACTTAGCATACCTTCTATGCAAACGATCGATGTTGGAGTCTCTAACGAAGAGTTTGACATAATAGTGGACTCTGCAAGGTTCCTCTTGTTTTAGAGGCTGAGCTGACTGAGCGTCAGGGTGATATAGCCGGGTGCTCCCACGGGCATGGTCAAACAGTCACTATAAAACACAACAAACCTTCTGTGCGAACGATCGATTTCAGCGTCCCCAACGAAGAGTTTAACATAGTAGTGGACTCTGCAAGGTTCCTCTTGTTTTAGAGGCTAAGCTGACTGAGCTGCAGGGTGATACAGCCGGGTGCTCCCACGGGCATTGTCAAACGGTCACTATAAAACACAACAAACCTTCTGTGCGACGATTCAATTTCAGAGTCTCCAACGAATAGTTTAACATAGTAGTGGACTCTGCAAGGTTCCTCTTGTTTTAGAGGTTAAGCTGACTGAGCTGCAGGGTTATACAGCCGGGCATGGTCAAACGGTCACTATAAAACATAACAAACCTTCTGTGCGAACGATCGATTTCGGAATCTCCAACGAAGAGTTTAACATAGTAGTGGACACCGCAGGGTTCACCCTCGTCCTCAAGGCCGGGCTGCAGGGTGACAGAGCCGGGTGCCCCGGCAGGCACGGTCAGACGGAATGCCACCGCTGACTCACCCAACTTCTTAAGCAGTCTCTCCTGTGGGATACCAATAGTGAGCAATCGTCTCAAATATTAATGAAAAGTAGAGACTGTAGTCAAGTTTTCAAATAGCAAATACGAATAGCCAAGCAAACTGCCGGCACAAAGACTTAAGTTAGCGTTCTACATTCGCGATATTTGTTGTGTTACTTGGTTAAAATTTATTTAGAATATATTAAAAACAAACTGTATATTTTTGTAGTATCTATCGCGAGGAGGAGCTGGATGGCGCAAGTAGTTAGCGCGTTCGGCTACGATCGTTGAGGTTTAAGCAACTTTCGTAGTGGTCGGTCATTGGCTGGGTGACCAAAAATTTACTATCTCGTGTTCCTCCGTGCTTCGGAAGGCACGTTAAGCCGTTGGTCCCGGCTGCATGTGCAGTCGTTAGCACCCGCCAATCCGCACTGGGCCCGCGTGGTGGGCCATGGCCCAATCTCGCTATTCCATCCATAGGGAAGGCCTGTGCCCCAGCAGTGGGGACATTAATAGGCTGATGATGATGATCTATCGGGAAATGACTATTTCTTAAAATTGTAATGTTTAATAGTAGATTAAGCACCAAGGGATAAAGCAGTGTATTATATCACGGGCAGCATATTGAATTCTGGTCGAAATGACTGATTATGTAGCTACTAGGTATTCAGTTATAAATTGCAATTCAGTAGTTATTTCAGGGTCGTTCACAAATCAATTACCGTACCTGAGTGCGTGACAAATCATAGTTTCTCTTCTCGGGGGGTGGATAGATCTGTTCTGAGGCCAGGAACAGCTCCTTGTAAAAGTTCAACCCCATGACCTCGTCTTCTTCGCGTCCATAACGGAAAGTGCACACCACTTGGCCGAACACCTTGCGTCCGCGCACGTATTCCTCATCGAGCAACACTACGCCATCTACGTTGAGATAAATAATGCACTAAATATTAAAGTTTAAGAAATTATTATAGGACTTAACGGTTCAGTTGATAAAGCGTCAAAGCTTTGAGAAAAGTGACACTTTGTGATATTTATGATGGAAACCACATTTTGCATGTCTTTGTAGTAGCCAACGATATTAAATACCCTAGATGCACCACGTGCGTCCAAAATGTGTCCCAATCAAAAAGTGCTTAAGCGCCCTTCAAGCACTTCTTGGTTACAGTCACGCGCGGACCGTTGCTAAGTCAAGTTGCCGCAGAGTACCATGAAAAAATGCGAAGAAAATACTTTTAGTATGTAAAGTGTCATTTCGTCATGTAGGATCTAATGTTAGTTAATTTAACGCATTTGAAGCAAATTTTTCTCTAATACTTACCTACTATAAACTGATTTAATAGAAAATATTTGTGATATTCAAAGGCATGGTAATATTGCCATCTCATTTCTTCGCGGTCCGTACCTACTATATTGCTAACGGTGCATTCGGAATTGCGCGTAGAGTCAAAAAAATAAGGTCTATATTCACCCGCAAAGCAATAAGTCGTACAATTTTACGAGCTTGCATTTCGAACTGTCATAACGCTTTGACGCATGCGTTTTAATTAAGACCTTATACAGTGTGCATTAATTGTGTCTTTCAATGTTTAAATAATGCCTTATATTGTTTTTGAAAATGCGTTCATCTTACGGAGCCCCGTGAATCGTTCAATGTACCTTTTGGACAGGTTTTCCGGCACGATTTCGTTCGTGTTGGTGTACTTAATATCGTTGGTAGTAGCCCAAAACCATAAGGTTGCCTAAACTATCCCTCCCTATATCTCAAATAAACAGTCTGAGTATGAAAATGTTAGCGCTCTACATGCTGCCTTATTTTATGTTGCGCTTCCTGCAATCTACAATTATTATGAATGGGAAATTTTGTATATTTGTTACTTAATCACTATAAAAATGCACTTTAGAGGAGCTCGATGGTGCAGGTTGTTAGCGCGTTAAGCAACCCTTGCGAACTTTCGCAAAAGTTGCTTAAGTCGTTGAAGTTAAGCAACTTTCGCAAGGGTCTTTCGTTGAATGGGTGACGAAAAATCTTCTATCTCGAGTTCCTCCGTGCTTCTGAAGGCACGTTAATCACGCTATTCCATCCATAGGGGACATGAATAGGCTGATGATGATGATGAAATTTCACGCATATAGTTTATGGCCTGTATTGAAACATAGGATTCTCAAAAACTAAAGTTTATGCGGACGAAGTCGCGGGCGGCCACTAATTTATAATATTTATTAATACAATATTCCTCTATTTGAAATAACCACAGATCAGAATACTGTTCTCGTGCTTTATTGATCATTTCGCATTGCATCTCAAAGTATTAAATCAATCTTAGTAACAGCTGTTCAGGAAAGCCTGAGCGTTCACGTTAAACCCAGTATTTGACCAAGAACTATTAAAGAGGGATCAGTTACTGCAGGTGACTGGTGCATTGGAACTTGTCCTTTTTTGTTCTGATGAGAACAAAGACGGATAGCCCATAAATGCCTGCCTCAGATATTACTTACGGAAACTATAAAATAAAAGTTTTAAAACTTGAATTGGAACTCCCGTCTGGCGAAGTATACATCGAGCCGTAACTGTCTTAAATCTGTTTAAACGAGTTTTGCTCTGCGTGTTTGTTTTCATAAGGAATGTCAACATTATTTATAAATAAAAAATAAGGATACGATTAGTAATTTTATATATCTACCTTTGCCACGAACCATAAAGCTACAAAACGAAAAATTAATTTTGTGTTTCTTTCAAAATTCATTGTATAACGGGAGTTATCCTTTCTTCAGTTGATGCACGAATACCATTAATTGTTGCAAATACGGTTTTGAGACCATCCAAATCTTCAGATTGAATTACAAATGTCCAACTATCAAACCAACCTATTGGCTCCACGTAAGATATGTGGTCGACAAAATCGCGCTTCGGCATGTACAAGGTAATTTTTCCATTAGGTGCGCACTTTTTGAACACTTTGAAATTGAACACCATTTTGCTGAGTTGCCTTGCAAAGAGGTTTTCACTCGCGAACAGTTTTATTATCACACAACACTCGATTGACATTCGGGCTCGTTCCGGTGTCATATATATATAGGGGATTACTACCCTGCTAGGCTTCTGAGTCCTCATAATCTCATTCAGCTCATTAAGGCTCACGTGCAAAGCTACAGTGTGGGCGCCTACTGTAATATTTTGTGTATAAGCAGTCTGATTCGCCGTCTCTTTCATCGTAATCCGCTTTGCCATTTTCGTTTATGGGATTAAATTATGACGCGTTTTTCGATTGTTTTGTTCACAATTGCCTAGTCGAAACAGACGTATTGAATTTTAGGTTTGCATTAAGTACCTAACCTATTGATTTGCGAAACTATTAAGTAATATGGGCGAGTTTGCAGCCTTGTCTTTTGAATGAATAACAAACTGTATTATTAAATAAGGTTTCGACAAATATTTTGTTTTCCTATCATTTCAGAATGATATTTTTGTGATTATGATCTAGTTGGCTTTTGAAGTTAGGCAAAATTCGTTCTTAAATTAAAGAGTTGCAATATTTTAAGTAGGTACATAGTTAAATGAAATATCTACCTATTTTTATACAAAATTTTCATGACAGTAAGAAATAACGATCCTAATAAAGTCATTTAACAGTAGCAGGTATTCCATTTGCAGGATTTTGCTACTAATACGCAAACTATGGGCCAAATTTTGATAATTATATTTAATATCTTTTTATCATAGATACTATAATAAGACGATTTGATTCCTAAGTCCTGACCTACCTTAAATTTATTTTCTTCTAAACATTTTAGTACTATTAGATTGACAATTTCTAGCGAATTATCGAGCAAAGCGGTCAAGAATAAATTAATTATTCGATAGTACTACTTACAAGTTGTTTTTATTAGTCCTTTCATAAATCTACTAATTTAATAGAATTAAGAAAGTTTGTAACTTTGTGCGTTTGTATGTTTGTTACTCAATCACACAAAAACTGCTGAACGAATTTAGATAAATTTTGAAATCTAAAATTTGAAGACCTTTTGATCCCGGAAAAATATTAGTTTTCTGTGGGATTTCCAAAGTTAACGCGGACGAAGTCACGGGCGCCCGCTAGCGTATAATAATTGTGACGTAATGAATACAACTAAACAGATGCAGAATTTGGTACTTAAACAACGCCATGTAACAGAGCGTAAACGTTAATGAACTTTTTGTTTAATGTGTAGTCATAATATTTTAAATCCAACATACTATTCATGTTGATAAGACCTTGTTCAGGTTTACATTATTTTATAATTAGGTTAAAAAACGCTAATAGCAGGATCTAAATCGAGTAGCAGTTTGAGTTGAAGAAGACGCGTGATCGCTATGACGTCATCGCCGCGCTGTCTCGGCATTCCTCAGGCCAATGCGCTAGCGCATGCCGCGTCAGGCCCTCCTTCCTCCGCCCTCCTCCCACTTCAATCCCCTCGGCACTCCCGCGACTACAGTTAACGCCAGAGACCTCAACCGGTACACTCGCTACGTCTTCAGCTAATTATTTTCTATTCACCTCCTTTGATACGTCATTCGAATTCAGTGCAGTCATTTGTTTTGTTTTTTTTTTAATTGGCTATTCGATTGCTTATTTGTGTTGTGGATTGTGAGCTGAGAAAAATGCTTTCTTGAACGTGTTATACAAGAAGTTATAAATCGATGGATCGGCATTTGTTTAGTTTCGTCGAAACTCTACCAGTGCAGCAAATAAAATGTAAGTTTAGATTTTATTTTCTTTCAATTACTTTTTGTTTATATTAATATCAAATTCTGTGTTATATACCTAGGTATGCATATAAATGAATGAACTGTATATTCTTTACTGTGGTACTATTTCGGGCTTTCTAATCTTTCCTTTACTCACGACTTCGGTAATTTATATCGAAATAAAGAATACTTAGTCACGTCCAATTTTTTTTCTATCTTTTTACCAAATTTCATCAGAATCCATTGGAATATTTAGGGGTAGAGGTACAAATAACAAAAAAAACCATACGCAATAGGTACAACAGTATTGGTTGGATTCGTTTAATTTCGGTGTATTTCTTTTTTACGTATGTAAGATCGTATTTTTGTATTTGTAGTTGTTTTTGTTTTTGTAACAATTAATTAATCCAGAAAAAATTCTTATTTTTTTAACATATAGGTACTGTTATCGCTTCATTCATAAAAAATAATAAGAATTAAATAGTCTATAATACATAGCTCAAAGTAATAATTACTTACATAAAATATAGGTAAGGAAAAAAATGAGATTGTTTAAAACTCCTTCCTTAAGGAACTTAACTCCTTAAGGAAGGAGTTTTAAAAGACCGGTAGGGCAAATCGAATTTTCTGCTTTAATTTGGTAATACTATATTAGCATCCCATTAGAGAAAACCTCAAAAAAATCATAATAGGTACTACCTGATGGGTACTGTTGTATTTCTGTCGGAAAGTGAGGTTCCAGGGTTCCACAGAATAAGACGACTTTGGGCTGTTACGTATTCATCCTATGATGTCTCATCCCATTTCCTTAGTCATCCTTAACTAGTATTTCTAACTCAACCTATTGCATAATTTTGAAAAAAAAATTCTAGATTCAACCCAAAGAGTTAGGGTAGGCAACAGCGCAAATGATAGTCTGGTATTGCAAGCGTCTGTAAGCTATGGTGGCTCTTACCATTAGGTGGACCATATGGCGACAGTGAGGAGCTCGATGGAGCAAGTGGTTAGCGCGTTCGGCTGCGATCCTTGAAGTTAAGCAACTTTCGCAGTGGTCGATCATTGGATGGGTGACCAAAAATATACTTCCTCGAGCCCTCCGTGTTTCAGAAGGCACGTTAAGCCGTTGGTCCCGGCTGCATCTGTAGTCGTTAGCACCCACCAATCCGCACTGGGCACGCGCGGTGGGTCATGACCCAATCTCCCTATTCCATCCATAGGAAAGTCCTGTGCCCCAGCAGTGGGGACATTAATAGGCTGATGATAATGGCGACAGTGGAGAGGAAATAAATTTTAACCCTGTTTTTGTATTAAAAATAAAAGAATTATCTGTAAACTTTATCGCGGAATTCATAACATTTATAATTGCTTCAAAGAGAGCATGAGTTTCACAGCTCCACGTTTGGATAAATACTAAGTTTATAGGTATTTTGATGCAGAGCAAAAAATAATATTGTAATTTTGAACACCACTAGCCAATTCCGTAATGTTTAAAGTCCCTTTGGTCAATTTGAATTTGTACCAATGGCACGATGAAATGAAATGAAAAACCTTTATTGGCCATCTTATATACATTATTACCTACCTACTAAAAGAAACAGAAAAAAAATATAAATAAGAAACTTAACCTAAGAACAAAAATTAATCACTAAAACTAAGACGGCCAATCAGGACCCTACCTCATCTTATGCTTACATTACATATATACATTGAGAAAATATTCTCTCACTGTATCAGCGCTGGTATTCTGGCAGGGCCTGTGCGAGGACGATAGTTTTGTAATCTATAAATATACTAGCTGACCTGGCGAACTTCGTTCCGCTTACAACATCTATTTTTTCATATATTGCGACTATAAAATGAGATGTAAGCTATCCTATCTTCCAACTTGGATCAAACTGCACACGGTATGCAAATTTGATTAAAATCGGTTAAGAAGTTTAGGAGTCCATCCCGGACAAACAACGTGACGCGTAATTTATACATACACAGTCAAGTCATAACACGAGTCATAAGTATGGTCACACAGTAAAAACTTTTCTTTTAGAATGCTGGCCACAAAAGAGTTTATTGAATTCGAATTTCGAATTGTTCATGATAATAAAAATGTATACTTTTTAGAATTTTACTCATTTTTAAATATGGAGTGGATGCTTAAAGAAGACCGTGTTGCAGTTATTGCGTTGCATCGTTGCGGTTACGTGCCAATTCAAATTTTTGACATACTACTGAAAATTTTGAATATAACCAAAAGATTCGTTTATCGTACCATCAAACGATACAATGAAGACTCTACCCTTACTACGAGTTTCACAGTTACGAAAACTATGATTAGTTTTCGTGAGCTCACACTCGTACTAAGGGTACTGATTTTATTGTTTTCGTTTCAATACAAATAAACAGTGTTTGAAATCTATCATTCAATTTATTGGCAGCTTCTTAAATTTTAAGTATATTTGGTTACTTTTCACCAAAATAAACATAGAAATATAATTTACAATTATAAAAACTATGATTGATTTCGTGAGCTCAAACTCGTACTAATGGTACAGATTATTTCTACGTCGATCTGTTTATGTTTCGTGTAGATTTCAGTACTTGTTGGACGCTTAAGCAACTAAACTTTTTGAAGATTTTTATCGTTCACAACCAACACGACGCCGAAGCGACATATATTTTGGTGTTTTTTTAACCAATGGCGCTAACGCCCTACTATTTGGCGTATGATTTGAATGATATGTTTGCTTGACAAAAAATGTATGGCGGGCCGAGTGATTGAAGCTTAGGCGACAACTTATTTGTTAAGTAAATGCACTGTGTAACGTTATAATAGGAGGATATTTAGAAAATATTATTTTATGAATATCCTATTATTTGCATGGCGCTACTTCTCATTTACAATGAGTTATGATTTTTTTTGTTTCTCGTTTCTGTAGTTACTAAAGTGGCGTTTAAGCGATTTTTCTTATCCACTGTCAAAATTATAAGGTTTAGCTAAACTAACCCCTAAAGGAAGGATTGTAGGGTGCCGAAGTTTTTATATGAATGAATTTAAACGCGCGTGTGTAAGTTTGCATGTCTGTCACTCAATTACGCAAAAACTACTGAACGGATTTGGAAAAAAATTTGGTACGCATATAGTTTATGTATACACATATGTGGAACACTCAGAAAGTTTTATAAAACTAAAAACCTAACCTCTATGAAAAAATATTTTTAATAAATCTTTTCAAATAATTCTCCACCAGCCTCTATACAAAGTTTCATGGGTATGAACCGATTTTCAAAACATTTTTTCCCGCAGACACCTCTTCCACGGCCTTCTCAAACGCTGCTAGCGCTTCTTCCGGCGATGAAAATTGTATTCCTTTGAGCATTTTTTTTATTTTAGGGAATAAGAAGAAGTCACATGGAGCCATATCAGGACTGTAAGGACACCCTCTTTACAGTCCTGATATGGCTCCATGTGCTCCCAAGATTCTGACTGGTGTGGAGTCCAGGAAGTCCTTCGTTTTGATCGCAGAGTGCGCGGGCGCGTTGTCGTGGTGAAGAAGGACCCCGCGGAGCCCGGTGTTAGGTCGCTTGTACTCATTGCAGAAAAAACTTCTGGCAGGCATTTTATGTTATACCATTCGGCGTTGATGCTGCTTTGGTCTCCAAGTGGAATTGAAATTAGATACCCCGTCAAAGTGAAGAAACTAGCGATCAAAATTTTCCCTGTGCTCCTCGATCGCTTGACTTTCATAGGCGTTGGTTCATTTTGAAACAGCCAAACTGTCGACTGACGCTTTGTTTCTGGATCGTATTGATAAATCCTGGATTCGTCACCTGTCACAATATAATAAACGCGCCGTGAAGAGCCTGCATCAAATTTTTGTATCATATCACTGCATCAATCCACATGGGCCTGCTTCTTAGCTTTGGTGAGGTTGTGCGGCACCCAGCGGGAAACTATCCTCCTTACGCAAAGGTGCTCGTGCAAAATCTTGTGAACACTTCCTGAACCAACCTGCAGAGTATGCTGAATATCTTCGTACGTAATTCGTCTGTTTTCTTGAATATTTTTTTTACTGCTAGCACACTTTCTTCGGTGACAGCCGTCGTAGGTCGACCACTCCTTTGTTCATCCCCCAAAGTAAGACGACCGCGTTTGAACTCGCTACACCAGCGGTAGATGGTTGCTTTCGAAGGTCCTTCATCCATAAAAGCAGTTCCAAATCGATTAAATGACTCATCAGGTTTAAATCCACGTTTAAAATCGTTAAAAATCATAGCACGAAAATGCTCACGATGCAATTAATGAGACAAGAAAAATTTAATTGGCTTATAATTGCAAGTGGCCAGTGTCTTATACATAAAAACTTTTTTCGGAAAACTTTCTGAGTGGTCTGGTATATATATGTATAGACATAGGATACTTTTTATCCCGCAAAATTTTTCGTTTCTGTGGGATTTTCAAAAATCTAAAGTTAACTCGGACGAAGTCGCGGGCGGCCGCTAGTTACTAAATAGAATGACAGTTTTGCTTATTATTTTAATATTGTTTTAATAATAATCACAATACTATTCAATGTGTTATAATAATATTCCAGAGTCGAAAAACAATCACTCTTCTACAAAGATGACAGGTGACACAGCATCCGACAGTCCAGAGCACCAGCCTCCAGGTATAAACTATTTTTTCTTGTTGATGAAACAATTCTTTTACTTCTAGTTTCAGAAATAAAGGAAGACTTTTATTCAATTTTACATTCATAAATTAGCGTATACAACGGAACCCTTATAGGATCACTTTGTTGTCCGTCTGTCTGACTGTCAAGAAAATGCAGCGGCAAATTGAAGTATTTAGCTCGTGGCGCATTAAGGCGCAAAGCAAGAAAAATGGCGACAGGTAGTAGTGTTAAGACACAGAAAAATGTTGAAAACAGTGCGAACTCCACGTTTAAAAGAACTTTTTACAAAAAAAAAGTATTGTTTTAAAGACTTTTATTATAGTGAATTAAGAAAATTTTAAGAATTACAAATAGGAGCAAGTAAAATAGTCGTGTACAAATGACGAAGTTTTTGAAGTTACCTGGCACGTTAACAACGCTAAGGTGTTCATGGAATCTGGTACTCGGAGGACTCCTGCGGAATATTATTTATTACCTTCGTCTGACCGCGATGTGGACTATCTTATACTATAAAAAAACTCTGAGAGTCCAACGACCCATGTCCACGCTTGAGAAGATTATTAAGAACATATTGATATATTGTTAGATATTCACAGGGGCTGTGGACATGGTGGTCGAAAAGAAATTCAATACCTACCAAATTAAAGTTCGATTTATAATTGTTTTTTTTTGACTTAACTAGTTTAATAACTTTAGGAGTGCTCAACAACAACTGAAATTAAGTCCGATTTGTCCAACCTGCGTTTTATGATAGTCACTTTACTATAACAATCAGAAAAAAAAATATAATCTAAATCGTTGTCTAAATTAGCTAGTAAAGTTTCTTAGGTAACTATAAATTCACGGTGTATAAGATAATAGAAGTATCTATATTGACTTCCAGGGGTGGTAGAATTGAGAGAGGACATCCCTCTGAAGGCTGGCGTTGGAATGAGTGGCGGCATGTGGGGCGGCGGCGGCTGCGCTCGAGGCCCGAAGCTCATCGTGGCCGCATTCGCTGTTCTGTCCGCTGCAATTACGCTCGCTCTTCTTACACAAATATATTATGGGGATTATGAGGTAGAATATTAAAGCACCTTGAAAGCCTGCTGTCAAATAAGATTGCATGCCAGAGCAATACGGCCACAATGTGGGAGTAGCTGTTACAGTACCTACATATATCGTTGCATCAGCAGTGTTCGTACCTGACACTCAAACTAATCATCATCAGATGGAGTAATTCGCCGGGCAGTGAATTAAATAGAAGAACATATTTATATATCTATATATATATATATATATATATATATACGCAACCCGGAAGCGAGAAGCCGTACTGATATATCTTACCATTCAAGTCGTTCTGGATTATTTTGCAGTGGGAAATATGCACACAAGTGTTTGTAGCCGACATTAACACAAATAACATTTTACACGAGTAATTTACCGCCAAATCTTGCAAATCTCTTCATGTTTGTGTGATAGTATATGCCATGCATAATGACTAATTGGTTATATAATTTTGCCAGATGGTAAAGCTGCGTATCACCTTTTGGTTCCGTCCATGCTGCTCTATAAAGCACAATTAAAATATTTTGATTGTTAAAAAAAACCTTCATACGTGAACATAAACACAAATAAAATGGTCCACCCATATGCTTTACAGGTTGTCCCCCACGGCGCCGCTTCATCATCAGTAGCTGCCTGTTCACGAGCTGGCACAGACGCGCTGAAGGCAGGCGGGTTCGCGTTAGATGCTGCTGTGGCCGCAGCCCTGTGTCTCGCAGTAGCTGCACCCCATCGCACTTCCATGGACGCGTGAGTGTTTTCTTTTTAATGCCTTCGAAAGCATAATTCAGCAGAAACACTGATGTTATATTCGTTTCGGTGTTACGAGTACGATGTATCTGAGTTCTCAAACCTCCTATGACTATGATTGATGTTTCTATGTTCTGTGATTATTATTCAAACTTCCCCTGGGCTCATGTAAAATTTGATTGTAGTCCAATTGCGTGGATACCGTTTGCAAGGAAGGGAATCATTTCTGTAGGAACCCAATTATTGCGTAGCCAAAAGGGCAAAAGTAGTTTTTGTGACGCATTGCGAGTAAATCGGTGGCACAGGAATCGACCGAGGCATGACCACGACCATAGGGGTAGTGGCCGTGTCAAACGTGAGTCAGGCAAGAAGAGTTTTGTATCCAGATAAAGGAACCGTGGCTAACTAGGATTGAGGTTGCTAAGAAAACCATTGCGATAGCTGATCCTGATTCTGTCAACGGGTTCTGTAACCTAGTTCTTATAGATACTTGTTTCCAGGAGTGGATCGATGCTTTACTGGGAGTACCGCCAGTCACGCACTCAACAGCCTACGCTGATAGAGTGGGGTGGTAGCATGTCTAAAACGCTTACCCCGCGCCCACCTCGTCTGGTGGCTGCCATGGCTGCGCTTCACTCACAACTCGGTGTGCTGCCGTGGTCGCGCTTACTACAGCCAGCGATCGATATCGCCAGGTATACGTTCATTTTCATCATCAGTCTAGTAATACCGCCACTGCTGGGGCAACAAGCCCTCCTTAAGAATGGAATAGAGAGATTGGATAATGGCCCACCATGAGGGCCTAGTGCAGAATGATGGAAGCTAACGATTGCTCATGCCGAAACAGACGGCTTAACGTGCTTTTCTAAAGACGAGCACAAGATAATATATTTTTGGTTACCCATCCCATATAAAAACTGAACTTTACAGTACATAGGTTATGTGTCTCAGACGCTTCAGACGCAATTCAGTAATAGAAATCTACTCGATGAAAAAGAAGATTATCGTTAATTTAAATAAGACTAGTGGCCCGCCCTCGCTTCGCTTCGGTGTAGAGCTGTAGTGCAGACTATAGATTTTGTTCTCAGGCGTGTATTGTAGACATTGAATTTATTTATTTAATTCTTTTTCTATGATTCTTTTTTTATTGAATAGGTAATAATGTTAACTTTTTTAAATTAGGGATGAGTGAGAGTATTATAAACGTAAGAGTAAACAAATATAATCAGAATGCTCCGAACTGCTAAGCTATCAGGAGTTACACGTATTATTGTGAGTAAACCATAAAAGATAGACATATGCTGTTGCAGGATATTTTTTAGACAATTTTATGTAGAATATTTCCGTCATACATGATTTCTATGTAACTTTAACCATTAAGGCTGCACACGCGACGGAAGCTTAAAAAATGGAGTAACTTGTCCCGTTTTCCCAACATTTCCCTTCACTACTCTGCTCCTATTGATTGTAGCGTGATAAAAAGTATACTATAACCTGCCCAGGAGTATAAAGAATAATTGTACCAAGTTTCGTTAAAATCCGTCGAGTAGTTTTTGTTTCTATAAGGAACATACACACAGACAGACCGACAGACAGACAAACAGACAGACAAAAATTTTACTGATTGCATTTTTGGCATCAGTATCAATCACTAATCACCCCCTGATAGTTATTTTGAAAATATATTTCATGTACAGAATTGACCTCTCTACAGATTTATTTTAAGTCTGGATTATTCTTAAATTTTCAGAGTTGGTTTTCCAGTGTCTGAAGGTCTGGCAGCAGTAGAAGGAGCGGCTGCGTCTACTGTGATAGTGCCAGGCACGCTAAGATCTGCACATGCTCTAGCGGACTTTCTGGAATCGTTACAGCACAATACTAGCTCTGGTATGAGCCCACTGGATTATCTTAGCTTTATTTGAACGAAGTTCCTTTTCGGACGTCATGGCGAAAAACATTTTAGAATTTACTGTCACAACCTAGCAAGGCACTGGGTGGGTAGCTAGATTGGCAGCTAGGTGAGCGACTACTGACGGCGGTGGCTGTGGACTTGATTTAAAGTTTTGCTTGATAGTTTGACGAAATAGGAAAATTGGAACATAATCCCCAACGTGGCCCCCGTGCGGATTGATGGGTAGGATACTGCTTTTTTATGTTGACATGACATGTTTTATTGTGGATTGGTCGGCGGTATATAAATACTTAAACTTCGTTCCAAACGAGTGTTCCACGACACCCACGTTTGCTCTTTTAAAACTTCTTGCTTAGAAATAATAGATATTGTATATAATAATAATACCTTATTTCTTACCATTAAAAATAACTCTACATTCATGAAGCTTTTAACATGTCACCGACTATTACTAATATAAAATATTAAAAGAGGTCACGTCCGTGTTGATCTATGTTTGTACACATTTTTGGAAAGAAGTGATTAATGAGATATAATAAATAGTTAAATTATCTCTTGGTGTTGTTAATATTCTGGTACCTTCAATAATAAAGAACCTCAACAGTTATTGTACATACGTCGCAGAATTATCAGCAGCATGGGGCAGTGAATCCTTACTAAGGAAAAGCTCAGTGCAGCCCACGACCGCTGGTGAGACACGGGTGTGGGCGGGTGGAGCCGGTGCTACTGTGGCGCTACAAGCGCTTGTGTCAGCACTTGAATCACCTCTGACGAAGCCGGACCAGGAGTCACTGAAGTAAGTTGTACCGGTATTTGAACTATAATGCTGGAATCGTAAACTGGAGCCCAGATTTTGCTCATGTACGTATCACCATCAATATCCCAATAATATACCCAATGCTAGGAGACAGATCTTTTCCACGTTCGGAATAGGATAAGGATAGCAGACTAATTATTTTATAGAACTAATAAATTTTTTTATTAAAAGCAGTGATCGCCAACCAAGGTTTTAAGTCTCTGATATAGATGTAGAAGTATAAGTAGTACTTTGATCGTGAGCATTATAAAAGTGTAGTAGTAAACCCGAGGTCCTTAAATCTTTTTAAGCCCGAATGTGGAATTTAGTAGACTGTCATGACATCACATTGAGGACATAGGATCGAATTTGACTATGAAACTTTTAATAAATAACAAAAAAAACTATACCATTGATTGGAAACACTTAAAGACCACATTATTCTTTTTTTAGAGTGGTGAAGTCTTTGCAACTATCAGCGGCGGCTGCAGGAAGTGAGTGGCCTCCCACAGGAGTAGCCTCAGGTCTGGCAGTCGTCGATCGCCGTGACAACTACCTCGCACTTGTCACGTAAGGCCTTAAATCAAATACATGCATCCATATATTACATCAAACATTTGACAGTCCGCCTACGCCTAGGAAAGTATTTTAAAGAAACTTACAGGATATTATCACAATTCCCCTTGGGAGATGAAGGCCGAGATGGCAATGCAGGAGCGATAATCCTAGCGTCTCAAATATCTTATTGTTAAGTGCTCACGATCTGACGACTCATATCATTCCTGTTTGTCACAAATTCCAACTAATTAAAGAATTAACGGGAGAAAATTTTTGCTTGTAGAAAATTAAGTAAAATGAGTTTTTTTTAATGTAGCACATGCTTAATTTTCTTTTATGTTAAGACTTAATAATTTTCTGAGTTATTAACACTTGTTTATGACTAGCTCCTTAATTTTTGATGTGCTTACAGGGGGCTTTCAGTACCGTTCGGGAATGGAGCGTTGACTGGCGAGGGATGGGCGTACGACGATCCTACAGCGCCACTGGATCTTGCGCCCGCATTACTCACTGATGATCAGATCTGCGGTTAGTATTCAGCAATTTTTAGTAAAAGTTTAGCTTTGTTTATATAATAATATAATTTAGATTTGTGCTAGTTTGACTTCTCTAGCTAGCTTCATGCTATGTTTCTTGAGGAGACAAAAGCATTAAATCTATAAACATCGAGGTTACTTGCAGCCTCAAGGAGAGAGAAAGAGCTCTTTCTTTTTCCTGTTCTCTTGGCGTTGATCCCAGTTGCATCTGAAGTCGTTAGCACCTACCAATCCGCATTGGGCCCGCGTTTGTGGGTCATGGCCCAATCTCCCTATTCCATCCATAGGGATGGCCTGTGCCCCAGAAATGGGGACATTTAAAGGCTGATGATGAACCCAGACTATTATTCAGAGTACCCAACAACAACAAACATTGAATATCCACCTTACCTAACTACACTCTTTTTTTTTAATCAGGTACAAGGTACATCGTCGGCGCTGAATCATCAGCTGCCCTAGCACAAGCAGCATTAGTACTCGCAACGGGAGGAGGTGCGGGTGGCGTAGAACGTGCAAGATTTGATATCCTACGAGGCGGGGCTCTGGCACTCGAGGCTTCACGACCCGAGCCGCTTCTTCCTTCTCTTGTACCAACCGTCAACGCGTCATTACCCTACGCGGCTGTTAATGTTGTACAGCAACGTGGTGACGCGCTACTCTCTCATGCTGATAGTCGCGGTGGTGGTCTTGCGTCTCGTTTTTAATCTCTACTCACAAGCAGCTGGTTATCCTATGAGACGGGGCTCTGGCATTCGAGGCGACTCGACCCAAAATCGCCTCTCTTATCCTTCATGCTAAGTCGACTATTCGGCGTTATTACCGTACGCTGCCGTCAATCTTGTACAGAAATGTGGTGATCCGGTTTTCCCTCATGCTGACAGTTCTGGTGGCGGTCTTGGGTCACGTTAATAATCCCTACAACTAGCAAGTAACGAAACGCGACTGGTACAGTGAGGCGGGGCTCTGGCACTCGAGGTGACTTAACCCGAATCGCGTCTATTTTCTTATGTACCAACCGTCAATGCGTCATTACCGTCCGCTGCCGTCAATGTTGTACAGCAACTACAACAACTAGCAATCAATAAAAGGATGCTGGTTATCGTACGACGCTAGTTCGGAGTCATTGAAACTTTTTTTGTTCTTTTTTTGTCTGGGAAATGCCTTACGCATCCTTCAACCACCGAGCGAAAGGAAGGTATGTGGGACTCTTCCCTGCTCATTTCAGCCAGCCCTTAGGCCGGGTGAAATGAGCAGGGCCCTACCTAACACTAAAAACCAGACAATACTCCTGCACCGGTCACCCGGCGTGCATTGGGGGGACTGCGGTCCTCAGAATCGGATTGCGTGTGTGGTCGCGGCAACCGTTGCCGACTGTCCGCGAGTCACTGAACCTAACGTCACATTTTTAATCCCTACGACTACAAGCACACTGCGAAACAACGACGGTTTTCCAGCGAGATTGTAATAGGCGTGTCGCATTTCGTCTATTATAATAGTTATTTCTTCTTCTTCTAGTTGCAAGTTGCAAATGCATTGAAAATGTTGCTATTTATGTCTTTAGAATGTATATATTACTCGTAAAAGTATCTCATTATAGCTCCTATAGTGTGAAGAAATGGCAAAGCCTTGCAATCTAAAACCATTGCGGTCTCGATACCATAGTAGTTAGTGTATTCGCACAGATCTGTACCTGGGCCGAGTTCATTTGTTTGTGTTGAAAGTAATCATTAGACGGCAAAACCTACCAATTTATATAAATAATAACACTATCCAAGTACTAGTGCTGAAATTTTAAATAAAATTGTGATATGTTTAAGCAATATGTTTAATCCATTGACCAAATCGAATTGTATTCATTTATAGTATTAACAAAGATTTATTATTATTAATTTTACACGCACCCGTCCAAAATCTAAGATCTCACTTTTAAATAATCTAAGCTAACGAATAAATTATTTATTTTACACTTTATCTATTTTGTTGTTTTATTTTTGTATTCCTTTATACAAAATATAAATTTAATCCATCGGGTTATTATTAGTATTTCAAACTCTTCCTGACTAAGACATCCGCGGGGGGAAGCATTTGGCCATAAGGGTCTTACAAGCTTTCCCTGATGCGATCATCTGCTGAAAAGGATGATGCAGTACAATTACCTTCATCTTCTATCTATATATATAAAAGTCAAAGGTGACTGACTGACATCCAATTTATTTTCAACCTTCGTAAATATGACCACATCTCATACTTCCGTTCTAAACTTAACTGGCTCCCTATTCGCCGGCGCAAAGACTTACACACTCTTACGCTTCTTTTCTCCGTACTTTTCTTACCCACTTCTCCTCATTACCTAAAAGAACGCTTCTCGTTTCTCTCTTCTACTTCACAGCGCACTTTGCGATCTTCTTCTAACCTATCTCTTGAAATTCCAAGTCATTCTACTGATTTCTTTTCCTATTCCTTCTCTGTGCATTCTGTACGTCTATGGAACTCTTTGCCAGAAACTATTCGAAGGGCTCGCACTCTGATATCATTCAGGAATCAAGTTCGGAGTTATTTCTTATCGCAACAGTGATGTAAAAAATTTCCTTCATCCTCTCTCTTTCCTTCCTTAGATATATCTGTTTTCCTGCCATAGATATTATTATTATATTCTATAACACCCCTCCTTTTCTCCTTCATATTTATTTATCTTTCTATTATGGGTTGCCTGGAAAAGATTGCTGCCTAGCAATAAGGCCGCCTATATTATGTACGTTCTATCTATCATGTTTTTTAATTTACTTGTGTTTTCTTGTATGGTGTATTACAATAAAGAATATTATTATTATATATTATTATTATTATAGTGATCAACGCACAGCCCAAACCACTGGACGGATCGGGCTAAAATTTGGCATGCAGGTAGATGTTATGACGTAGGCATCCGCTAAGAAAGGATTTTGATCAATTCTACCCCCAAGGGGATAAAATAAGGAATGAAAGTTTGTATGAAACTTTGTCAACTTTAAACCGATCGGGCTGAGACTTTGCACGCAGATATAAGAAGAATCATAGATGATGTCATTGTGTATAATACAAGCCTGAGAACAAAAACTGTAGTCTACACTTCAGCTCTACACCGAAGCGAAGCGAGGGCGGGCCGCTAGTAAGCTATATGTTTGTAGCTTCAATTTCCGCACCGCACCGATAGATGGCAGTATCAGTTTACCGCACTAGCGACCGAGCTAGACTGGCTTAACGAGTTGGTATTTTAATGCTTCTCATTAGCAATTTAATTAATCCAACCTCGTAGCCATTCTCGGAATGCAATAAAATAATTATTCCGTCATTGGTTGTCAAAAACAAAACAGTTACGCATTTTTTTTATAAATAGACTAGTGTTCCAACATCGCTTTGCTTCGGTGTTATCATTTATTATAGTTTTTGTTCCCGCAACTTCGTCGGCATGAAAAAATTGGTTTCCCATACAAACTTACAACCCCTTCAAGGATGATTTCTGGGATAAAAACTACCTTATGTCCTTTCCCGAGACTGAAACTATATCTTTACGAAATTTAATTTAAACTGGTTCCACGGTTTAAGTAACAGACAGACATACAGACTCACTTTGGCGTTTATAATATTAGTATAGATACAAACCATTCGTAAAATATCATGTAACTGATGTCTAAAACCACGCAGGAGGAGGAGATAACAGATATGTAGAGCAAGAGAGTAAGGACGGTAAGTGGCTTTATTTTATAAAAAACCGTACAAGAGCAAGTCGGACTCACCCACCGAGGGTTCCGTACAAATTTCTTGGTACATTACATACAAGTTAGACATTAGTTTTTTTGACAGCTAGGCCCGTATACCTAAGTATATGGTTTTACCTCCACACGTTCCCGAGATAACGGGTCTTGATAGACAAACGGACAGACAGACAAAAAAAATGTCTTATAAGGGATCCGTTTTTTTCTTTGAGGGTTCCGTAAACCCTAAAACATGAGTTCGCCCCTAGTTGCTGTCATAATTTTAAATTTCAAATCAGTGATTCTGATCATAAAAAATAGTACATTTTGATTTGGCTCAACACGCGTGGCGTGGCGTCGCGTTTCATGTCTGTTTCTGCCTTATTTATGGTGAATCACACAGATATGTAGGTATATTACCCTAGCGTAACAATTTCATAAGTCCATATCCTAAGGTATATAGTATTTTGTTGCTAATTTGTTGCTATTTTGTGCCGCAAGAATTGATTTTGTTGCTCCATGATTTCTCCGAAAATCGCCTGTTACGCTAGCATAATATTACGCTAGCGAAACCACAGCGATAACTCGGAGGCAAAAGCAGTTAGAGAGATCAGATGAACGGCATATTTTGTTGCTATTTTGTTGCTGTAAGATAAGCTGGTTAGATATGGAAAAATTCCCCCCCTTCATGGGGGGCTTACTACCCTTATTATTAGATATTTCAGATTTTTCGTATCTTGTGAACTAAAGCAGCTAGCGGCACGAGACAAACGGCGTATTTTGTTGCTATTTTGTTGCTAAGGGTAGTTAGTCCCCCATGAAGGGACTAACTACCCTTATTCTTAGATATTTCGTATCTCGTGAACTAAAGCAGCTAGCGACACGAAACAAACGGCGTATTTTGTTGCCGTAAGATAAGCTGGTTAGATATGGAAAAATTCCCCCCCTTCATGGGAGGCTAACTACCTTTATTCTTAGATATTTCAGATTTTTCGTATCTTGTGAACTAAAGCAGTTAGCGGCACGAGACAAACGGCGTATTTTGTTGCTATTTTGTTGCTGTGAGATAAGCTGGTTAGATATGGAAAAATTCCCCCCCCTTCATGGGGGCTAACTTATGTCTATTTTTTTTGTATTTTTATTACAAAAAGTAGTTTTTTTACAGTGAAAAAATATTTAAATCGTTAGGTCATGTCTCTTGGTCATATTATGAACAGTTATTCTAATCAAAATAAGTAAATTTATCTTTTCAAGCGTGTAAACAAAAGACTTAAAACTAAGTATACTCTCATCGAAGCGAAACGACGGCGGGTCACTAGTTTTAGGATTATAGCACATTTTTGTCGCACCGTACGCGTCGTACGCGCCGAAACCTATACATTTCATCCACACCGTACCAGTATAAGCCGCATTTCGTAAAGTCCGACGGGCATCCGAATTTGAAGGAATATATGTATAATTTAGGAGCCTAATGACGGACGTCATAAAACGCAGTGCGTGCGGTGCGTGCTGATGCTCAGTGTTACCAGATCGTACCGCTTTTTCTGCCGCGTTTTGCAAATGGATCATCGAATATGTAGCAATTATTGAAATTTTATATATATCAAATGCAAATATCTGAAAAATCGTTCCATCATCGTCTAGGAAGTCTGGGGAAAACGTATGATATTCTCCACATAAGTGTCTTTTTAAATTAATGTTGTTGCTCGAGAATCTATTTTTTCTTAGGGTTTTATTTTCTTCAGGCTATTACATTTTTTCCCATATCTCACTCAATGTCACCGCACCGTTTCACAACAGAAGTAAGATAAAACTGAAAAATTTTTGGCAATACCAATACTAAAGATTTGCGTACGGCGGGTACGGCTCGGATATGCGATGCTATCGGGAGTTCGGCGGGTGCTGACTGCTGCGCTGAAATATATCTTATCGGCTTTAATAATAGAGATGCATACATAAGCGGTAAGTATACAATGATTTTGAAGTTATTCGATAACGAAAACAAAATATTTATTTTAAAAATTTATTAATTAAGGGCGCCAAAAAACTACTATTACTACTAAAAACTATTATCTATTATTATGTATTTTTACTACAAGTATATGGCGAATTTTAATTTTCTGTTGCACAAGGTTAAAAATGAATAAATACCTAATATTGTATGGCTTATCAATCAAAAGCTTCTTTGCAAAGTTATATAAAAATCGCTTGATGATACATGCAAATTTTGTATAAGCTCAATAACATTTCCTTCACCTTTAGACAAGACGATTAATAACTTCTAACAACCAATAAATTCACTAACAAAAAACTAATGCGTAATATCGAAACTTAGAGTTAAAAAGTCGTACAAGGTCTATTTGAATATGAATGCCTATATAATAAATGCATTAATAGTAATATCTTCTTTTTTGTTTTAGATATTACGTTAATGCCTCTGAATATGTATGCACGAGCGCGTTTTTTTTGAGTGTGTATGCTGTTGGTCGCCGATGACCTTTACAGCGTCACCGGGGTTGGGGACGGCGAGATCCTAAGGGAACCTCGAGCCGAGAATTGGCGAGTGCCTCTAGAGGTATTCCAGGCGGATGGCGTCTCCCCGCGGGGGGAGTCTCCTCTCCATCTGGAGCCTCTAGACCACTCGAACCTGAGGGGTCGGCTCAACTAGAGGGCGTCTCTGAGACTCGGACTGCGGCTCTAGTTAGCCGTTGTCGTGGGGAGCGGGGAAAAACGCCCAGGTACGTACCTGTACCTGGTATAGCGTGTCGTGTGTAGACCGGGTCTTCGCAATCTTATCCTACGGTTGCGGTATCTGCCTAATGCTAAGCTAGTGTACATGTTTGCTAGCTGTGTAGTGTTGGTATTTGTGGCCTGTGTGGGAGGAATCGGAGGCGCGTTGGCGCGGGTGATTTCGTCGTCGGGGTAGTCTAAGACGTGCCTAGGTCGACGGAGTTGGATGTACCTACGATTGGAGGACGGGAGGGCGGACCTATGATAACTAATCGCTTTAACCACTAAGGGGTTCGGGTGATGCGTGGCTTTATCGAAGTAAACGTGAGCGCGTAAATTAGAAACATTTATTTATTCACATAAGGTTTTGATTGATTTTCATCGAAGCACAGCAAGTAACAAACGTACTTGATCCCGATTTATCGCATATATTATTCCCAGTCATAGTCAGCTCGTTGTCCATATTAAAATAACAGATAAGTATCATTATCTATATGATGCAA